TGGCAGCGGCACACCCCAAACGCGGCCTGCCCATGCCCCAACCATGGCGCCGTCACGCTCCGACCCTGACAACTCATCAACAGTTAGTCACTTCCAGTCCTGCCTGCCCGAGGACCAATCCACGCTACTATGACGCTATCCCATTGCTGACTGAGCGTATCAGTAACTCCTTGTCAGTCAATCGTATGTCTGTAGCTCGGTAGCCTCTGACATCGTGTCATCGTCCTCTGCTGGCCGTATTTCCCGCCTTGGCCCTCGCTCAGTACGCCTCCGATGATGGACCTCGATACGACATCGAGCCCCGGTCTCCGCTGCAGTTTCCCTCTCCTATGCAGCTCCCAGCCTGCAAATCATGTCCTCGTGCATGGATGCCCGATGCGGGTGATGCCGCTCCCGAATCAACCACCCATGATCTGAAGCTCCGAGGGGTCGCCTCAACATTCCATCGTGGGACACTGTGTCTGACCGCAAGCTGGCGGTGCGACTGCGATGGGCACCGCGCACTGTTGTGCAGGCTGCAGACGCAGATCAGGCTCTAGAATGTCGGGGGTTAGTTCTTGGGCCAGACGTAGAGGTAGTCTCAGTCGGACAGCTCATCATGGGACGCTGTCCACGCCGCCAGGGTGGACAAATGTGACATTTTGGCAATTGTAGTTAGTCCTTGTACTTGATAACACCTTGTAAAAAAGGTCCCGTGTCCTTCCCAGTTCTTCACACATCGTTTAGTCACACTTGTGCCACGGCGTCAGCACGCCCCAACCATGGCGCTGCCACGCCCGGACCATGGCTTCTTGACGGTTAAAGTCTTAAACTCTGATCCTAACAAATGCAGTTTTTATCCCATGGTTTCTCCACTCAAAGCTTCTTTCCCTGTGTTATGAAATCACCCCTTTTTTCCTCTTTCCATCCTATTTTTAGTGCTTTTGTGATCAACCGCCGATGCGTAAATGGCCTTGATTTGAGATGATTCCAACAGGGCGATATTGGGGGCAGGGGCGCTATTAGGGGGCGCCATATAGGGACCCCCACTGTATGTGGGTGTTTTCTCTTCCAACTTGGCAAAGAATGTTTTTGCTTCACCTGAAATGAAGCAAACATTTTCACTTTCCACACAGCATTAGATTTGGGAGAGAGGCAAAGACATGATACAGGATCTTGTCCCTGGCATGCGGACTGAACATACTTCGCATCCACGAGGCAGCACCTGGCCATACGACGCGGGTTTTGAAATAAAATGAACACGAATGGAGCCTTTCCACGAAAGAAACTGGTTCCAAATTTACTCGACGACGCCTGAGTGATGTTTGCATGGGTTCGCAACAGGAAGCTGCCTCCCAGCATCCAGATCTCTTCGTCGGCCTGACGTTGGCTGGCCTCAGTGCCGAGTCCAGAAAGAGGCGGCTGAGCATGTGGGGTTGGACATATTACACCCTGCAGCGCCCCTTCCAAACAGTGATCAACAACCCCCAACGGGCCCTTTGGATCGTGGTGCTCACTGCCGGACTCCTGGCAATGTTCTACTGGCGTTCGTCGATGTACCTGACCGGCCCAAAATGCGAACTGATGGGGTGGACACTCCCACTTGCCAAGGGATGTGGACAGATGGTTAAGCTTACGACGACATTGATATTGCTGCCCGTGTCAAGAACCACGATGACGTGGTTGAGGTCCGTGAGGCAGTTTGTCGATCCTATTTAAGATAACGCAGTTTACCGGCGCTGACACGTTCGTCCCGTTCCTGTACAGTTTGTGTATGCAAGGGTTTCTGCGCTTTGTCCTTCATGCCATGCACGAGTCCATTTTCACGCCCATCTGATATGGGGGTCTACCAGCGTGCATCTGCAAATGGGGACTGGGCAAGATTTCCACCTATCCGTCTTTTCTCGGGAAGGAGACCCGACTGTGGGAAGTAGACGCTGAGTTTGATATGTAGAATTTTCAAGCAGATATGCAATACCAGTGTAACTGGAATCCTGTGAGAAACACATACCAGTATCTGGTATGTACCAGACGGATTTTGCTCTAACGCCATTTTGCCTGCCTTACAGGGAGACGCCACTGCGCCGCATTGTTCCCTTTGACGACGCCATGCAATTCCACATCCTCCTGGGAACGCTCGGCTTCGTCTTTGCTTGGGTGCACACAATCGCCCATATCAACGACATCTACAGATGGGGAGATCCAAGATCCTCAGAATTGTATCATGCGGCCTTCCCAAAAGTACAGAAACAGCCGTCGTACTTTGAACTGTGCACATCTTTGGTTGCGGTCACGGGCACAATTCAACTGGTGACGTACTCCCTGGTGTTCGTGACAGCCTCCAATTGGCCACGGAGGGCACCATGGATGGTGAATACGTCACTTGGAAAGGTACGCAATTGCGTACCACTTTGCAAAGTGGCAGCATGGGCGTTGGCGGCTCGCTGTATTTGGTGTGGAAATGTTCATTCCTCGGATTACAATAGCATAATATTATCCAAGTTGCCACCCTATACTTCAGGTATATAGTGCACACATAAAGAACGTAGCCAATCTTGGATATGGCGGTGCCCTGCCACAGTATCCACGAGATGGGGCCACCCTGTTCTGCATGTGAATCGTCCATATTCAGGACATGGCCGCATCCTGGATACGCATATTTCGATATGGTGCACATTTTCTATTTATATCGAGAGAGCTGGACTTTTTGGGCCAACGTAGCTCCAAGCTTTGTGCCTTCAGTCATTCCTCGCTGTGGCTGCGTGTGCATGGTTGTGTATTTATGGCTGCGTATACGCACTTTTCATTGATATTCACATGATAGCTTCTTAACGTGTCAGCAATGAGCACAATAACATCTTCAATGATAAAATAGAATTCAAGGGGGCTAGTCTACCGAGCAAGCTTGTTTCATTGGCACAGGGAGGCCACGCCCTGTTTAAGTGAAAACATGCTGTGGATCTTTGGGGGTCTTGAGAAGTATGGGCATTTCAAGGAGGAAAACCTTGGAGCAAGGGTACTTGTTGGGCTACAATTGCAGGCAAATCCATACATCAGTGTGGCTTTGCACGTACAAAGCAAAAAGCAGTTTGGAATTGAGATTCCAAATTTTGACAAACTTAGGTTGCAGTTTCTGCAGTGCGCCTTCCACTGTTGGCTTGTGCCACTCTGTCGCCGCTAATAGCTTCTTCTTGCGTTCGACGCAGCATTTGAATAACTTCACATTGATATGGCGGGTGCATCTTCTTACCGTGGTGTACCTGGCCTCCCTGCTCTTCCATCCCATGCCACACATCCCGGACGAGCAAAATGAATGGGGCCACAGCGATGTTTGGGTGTGGGTCGGTGAGTACCATTTGTGATTGCAGCTCCACACCCTCACATATTTTATACTAATCTACTTCCATTCAAAGCTTCAGATGTCGGCGGATACATAAAGATATGCTGCCAACTGACACTTATTCACAACTTTGTCACCATCGTTACATGGTTGTCTCGTTTGTGGTCACCACTGTGAATTGCACTTTTTGAATCCCCCTGCCCAGATGGATGCTTTTTTGCTGTTAAGTTGTTACCATCAAATTGCGAAGGGCTGCTGTGTGGCCTGGGTGTTCAGGCGTCCCGGTGTTGATCTACGTCCTGGAGAGGATCGCACGAATGTATCAGCAGACGAAAGACGTCCGAATTTTGTGTGCCGAATTGCTGCCCGGAAAAGTGCTATCCCTCATGATGACAAAGCCAAAGGGCTTTGAGTACGAGAGTGGCATGTATCTGTACGTGAACTGCCCAAGCATTTCCCAGTGGGAATGGCATCCTTTCTCAATAACTTCGTCACCAGGGGCGGACCACCTGAGTCTGCACATACGCGCAGTCGGAGACTGGACAGAAGAGCTATACAATCGCTTCCGCTGCTTCGGTCAGACAGTGCACCACGAAGAATTGCTTCAGACATGCTTGAAGACGTTCACCCCCACATTGGACTCCAATACCACAGGCGTTGAATCCAGCGGCACAAAGACCCCCCTGGCGTCTCCAATTACACTGGCGCGTGCCTCACAGGGAGTACTGAAAGGGGTGCCGCTTGTCAGAGACTCAAGTGGGTTTGATCGCAAGGGCTCCGTATGTGACAATCAGCTCGCAGAAGGCATTCCCTATCACATGCATCTGTCAATGAATCCTCTTTGGAAGAACAACTCTCACGAATCGCGAGACTACGACGGGGGCGGCATGGAAGAAAGGAAGATGGACACTACGGGACTGGGCGAGCACCGGGTGGTCATCCCTTCAAAGGCCAAAAATGAGGGGCCTGGTTCTGCGGAACTTTCTGGACAAGAGGTGGCTTTAGCGCAGTCCGATCCAAGTTCACTGGCCACGAACGATCGGACCCCGAAGGTGCAGCGCACAACTGCCAATGAGGCGACTGGCATTATGACAGTGGCCAACGCGGAAAAGTCCTTGTACTCTCGTCCACGTGTGGCGCCGCGCCAACGCCACCATTCATTCTTGCAGGACCTCGCTCATGTGAGGCAGAGCCCTGAGGTGGCGTCCAGAGAAGTTCCGCTGAAGCTGCGGTTGGATGGGCCATTCGGAGCACCGGTGCAGGGATACAGGGACTACTCCGTGATGCTGTTGATTGGAGCTGGTATTGGTGTCACTCCATTTGCGTCCGTGCTCAGCGATCTGGTCCACAGGATGAGAAAGATTTCTCAGGTTCGTGTGTATTTTCGACAGCAACCCTGCGAGGCCGAAAATTTATTCTTCTGTCATCTTGCTTGAAATTTCTTCTTGGTGCGAATGGGGAATGTGCATGTAGATGTCATTTCGAAATGCTCCTCTGCTGGGATCTCTGATTGACACACGGGATGTTGGATTGTGGATGCCTGTATGTGACATGCACAAAATTTGATATTGGCGTGCCCGTCTATCCAGGGATCTGCTGTCCCACGTTTCCAGAAGGTTTACTTCTACTGGAGCGTCCACTCGCAGTCCGAAGTCCTGTGGTTCAGCCGCGTATTGGAGGCCATCAGCAGAGAAGATCTGCACAATATTTTGGACCTTAACATCCACATAACGGGTCTGCGACAATCTAGCGATGTGCGAACGCTGCCTCTCAAGGTCAGTGATTCACTGTGATTTGTTCTCACTGAAGGGACATACGCCCCATCAGCAAAACGAATGTGTAGGTAGTCGTTGCGTGCAAGAAGTTATGTTGATGTCCTTATCATTGTGTGGTCCCACACGCAAAGCACTAGCGCCACTGTGCAGTGGTTGTGTTGCGTCCGCGAATAATCTGTTGCATTTAGGACATGTTTAGGAGCAACTGAAAGGAAAATATCTGCTCGAATCGGCACTCAGTACATTTGGTTTCAGATGAGATCATGCCAATCCTTTTCTGCATTCCTTCTATTTATTGATCGCTCGTGGTCTACCGTTGGTAGGACAATTTCCCATAGAAACCATAGGTCTAGCCGTTGCAATAATATAGGCAAGCAGCGGGCAAGAGACCATGTGTGTTTGATAATTGATGCAACGTAGAAATCAAGATAACAGAAGCGGTGAATCTAGAACGGGCGTCATTCCTGTTTCTAGCATTTCCACAACTACCCACTTAGGGGCGAGGCTAGAGGGAGGCCAGCAGAGGCTCGCCGTGGCCGTTCAACCCCGCTGTACATATAGATACCCCGCTTCACCCATAGTATCATGAATATTGTCCGAAACGATATCCGTCACTCTTTGTAACTGGCGGTTAGAGAGAAGGGAACAACTGGGGTTGTTTTCGCTGTGTGTGCGCAGCTGGCACAGGTGGCAGTACACAAGCTGACAGGCATGGACGTCATGTCGGGGCTGAATGGCCGGGTCCTCACAAGATTTGGTCGGCCTGATTGGGCCAGGGTATTTCGCGACCTGCAGATCCGACACAGCAAGGAAAAGAAGATCGGTGTATTTTACAGTGGTCCAAACACACTGGCTTCGGTGCTGAAGAGGCTAAGCAACAAGTATTCAACGCATGGAAACAAGTTCAGTTTTACCAAGGAAGCATTTGGATACTGGTGACAACAGTTTCGGCTGCGGGGTTTGATTCAATTTCAAGACTGCTTTAGCTGGAAACGTGCGTTGTTGGCATTGGATAGTCAGCACTTTGTGGAATGCAGACAAGGCTGTGGTGGAAGGGTTGGTCAAAATAATAAAATGTAACCAATATCGAACCCGTCGGATCTTGTAGCCATTCATGAAAAATCTGGTGGTCGTTTCACTAGGCGGGCGTCTTCACTGATTCATAACGATGATTTCAACATTCACTGACAGCTCTACATAGACCTGCACTCACAAATGAAGAAATTGGAGTCGCTGAGCTTGGGTGAACGCAAGATTGAGGGACGTGCGACTGAAACTTCGAGTTTTGCAAGCCCGTCCACCGTCCAGCCGTTATCGAGACACACGGTCATTACCGAATGTAAGGCTCCATCAACGAATTAGTATACACGGGCATAAGGAGATGATCCGTCAGACATGACACTGCTTCCACAGCGCGCCCACATGTCAGTGAATTTGGCATCTATTGGATAATTTGTCTCATTCATAGAGAGACATACTCCTCTACACTGCCTTCCATCAGGCACGAAGCCCACCAAGCATGGCTCTACGCAGCTCGTTGTCAGTGTAATCATGATTATATAGTTTTTTTGCTACGCCACCAATGAATTTCCACAATCAAGCATCATTAGTCACGTGTTCAATGTGCACATTACCGCCCAACCAGCCCACCAAGGATCCATTCCGTTCCTTTTAAAGAAGGCAAATTGGCATGTAAAGTAGAATAAAGTTGTGCCTCACAACCTGTGTGGCGAGGCCGCATACGTGGCCATGGCGCATTGCCTCAAGCTCACTCCCAATTTACCCCCAACTTAGTCATTTCTAACGTTTGAATGTCTGGGCGATGAACACATTGGCTTCTGCCTCCCTCTTGGCTCACAATTTCCCAAAAACCATTTGAGCCAATGCCACGGATAGCGCCAAAGGGAGGCCACTGGTCGGCAGAACTGACTCTGCGCTGGGTAAAGATGCCATCTTGCAATTTGATCCTCTTATATTTGAAAAATGCACAATTTTCCATTCCCAGGACTGAATAAATTTCGTTAGGCAGTTCTCAGCTCTCTCTCCACCTCCTTTGTACAATGTCTGAAATTCTTATACCAAGATTTCTGAGCGCTTGGGCAGCACGTGCACCTCTTGGGCATCGAATTCTATATGGTTCATTCATTGACTCTCAGTACGCGAACAAAACCATTTCTCTTGTCCAGGTTCATTAGATCAAACATAGATACAGATGTTATTTCTCTGATTGACTCCCATGGACGCTGAAACGCCCGGGTGGCCACGTTGCCCCCCGGGCGGCCAAGGGTTGTCGAGTTTCTCTTTTCTCCTTTTGGGACTGATCAGTCTTTTGAGTTTTAAAAATTTTGGGCTTTGCGTCGCCTTGCACGCTCTTGCTCGGTGGCACAAAGCCCACATGTTTGGTGATAGTACGGGGGAGGCACCTTGCCGCTGAAATGTGGTGCTACATTTTGGGATTAAAAACATGTTTAACCCACCCCGTTCTGGTTTACTAATCTCCTAACGCATTCTCATAACCTAATTTTGTTTGCCTCCTAATGGTTTTCGGGCCTCCAAAGCCTGGTCAGCGAGCTTCGCGTCACCTCTTCACTATTTCCGATTGCAGCATTTGGAATGGTCACATGCATTTTCCTGAGGGCCATACAGGTGCGCTTAATCACAATCGGTCGGAATGGATCAGTAAATTAATGTGCCGGTTTTTGATGACTGTGCCCATCACTAAGCCATGTGATACTATCATGGGTGTAATGCTATGCGCACATACCACACCCGCTGGCCTCGTCAAGGGATCGATGGAGACATGGACATGGCCAAAGACGTCTACGCACGACCCCGACGCGATTCCCCATGTGATGGGGGCGAGTCGGGGCGGCGACCGAGGGCATCATGATCCGGGCGACCGTTTAGGAGTGGTTACGGCTGGCGTCACCACCACGTTATAACGCAATTGCAGCTGCCAATGAACTCCCACCATGTCGTTGCGCCAAAGAACCCCAGAGTTCAAAACAGAGGTGATCGCACGGTGGTTTCCTGAAGCGATCTGCGCCGGCCAGCCGTGTGCTTCTCGCAGCTGGGGGAGCTCAATGGGCGGTGGGCTCCAGGTTGAACCCTTGGGAAGCGTCGGCACGCGGCAACCGGAGCGGGTTGCGTGCGGTCGTCGTGTGGGGCTGGGCCTAAGCGTCCCGGCAGACTCGACGATAAACGCGACGGTGGACAAGCTCCGCAAAGGCCCGCAAGCGCCGAAATTGGAGGAGGTGAGCCTTGCGGGGCCGTGTCGATCTCCGATGAGCGTTGCGCGTATCAATGAGCGTTTCGTTGGCCATGGCCGCTCGCCGTGGCTGGTGGCTATCGGCATCGGTACGGTTCATCGGCGCTAGGTTCGAGCGTGCCGGCACAGTCGATTTGACTGAAATGTCCGGGGACGGGCGGGTGTGCGTGGGGTCGTCGACTGCGTTGTGCCGAGCGTGGAAGGGAGCGCGACGCAGACCCGCGAGGTGCCAGTTCTGTGATGCGATGGAAGGAGATGTGGTGTGCGACATGCGGTAAATCCGATTGAATCCGGGGTGCGTAGGCATTTTCGACATGTGTCGCCTGGGTTCCAATCGCTCAGCTCCACCGCGCCGAGAGCCCGCCAGGATCTGAGCACAAGTTGCCATGTGCGTCCGTGGACGCCACTTGTGCCGCGCACGTCGGGATGAGGCGGCGCGATGATTCTGATTCGGAGACATAGCCGATGCGCCTTCGTCAGGTGTCGCTCCAGCTCCTGTCGCACCAACACGCCACAGCGTTGGAAGCCCTGTCGGAAGCAGGCCGCAGATGGCCAGGTGCACATGGACGCTTGTTCCTCCTCCGCGCATTGTGTTGTGGAGGCGCAATGATCATCGCGATTCTGACAGTCCTGTCCTGGGGCTTGGGCGCGACGCTGATGTGTTATTTCCGTTAGAGTCTCGCGAGGTGGTGTTGGATGCCCGGAATCGATCAATCCTTGACATTTACCACGGAAGCGACGTTGTACATCTGTGATGGAGCCCGCTCTTCCAGGACCCTTCGTGTAGATCTGGAACTTTACACGCCAGAAAACGTCCTCAGGTCCTGTTTCAAAACTTGTGGCTCAAACTCCATTCCTTTTTCACGCCATTTTGCCTGAGTCCTCAAAAATTCTTTTGAACAGTGATTCCAAATTCCATCCTTTCCTTTTGATTCATGTGTCTGGACATGTTGACAGAGTGCTGTCCGGAAAATTTTCAGATGTGTGTTCGGCTTAGCCCATGCGCAAGCTACGTTGCTACATAGCATGTGATCGCCATGAGGAACAGCAAATTCAATAGTTTCAGCTATTGTGCTTGGCATAGTTCAAAACACTCAGCACAGTATCCACAACTGTGCTCAATGCAACTCAGTTGCGCTACTTTGAAGCCGCCCCATGGGCACCAGTCGCCTCATCCCCACCAACGGCCGATTAGCTCGCGCATTGAATGTGTCAATGAACAAAAGATTTCTCCTGTCGAACCTCAGTATGTGAGGGCAAGTGGGCTGTCATTTGCGTGCGCCACCCATCGCGAAGTATGATTTTCCCAGGCTGTTGACTGTACCATACATAGAGGCCCGTAGTTAATGGTCACCGTTGCGCTGTCCCATGCCACATCTGGCGTTTCCTGAGTCAGAGCTACTTGTGACATTTCGTCTGCATGGCGAACTCCCGCCTTGCCCATTTCATGTACTGTTATTTCAACGCTTGTTAGCGTTGCACGGTTCAGGTGTGTGGTCGATTAAGGGCCGGCGAGGAGGCGTGCATTGTCAGCATTGGAGCCTGCGAAGGGGGCGCTTGCGCAATGCAAGGGAGTGCCAGGAGGCATGACGGCTGCTCAGTGCTTCAAAGGATGCCCTCAGAGCCGGTGGAGTCCGCGAACCCTCTTGTCCGCCTTGAGGCAATGGTGAGAGCTCTTAATTCCTAGAATGATATAATTCTGCTTGTACCGTGTATTGCACGCGCACCCTTATGGTAATTAGCGGGCATTTTGACATCCGCCTGTGCTGGCAGTAATGGAACGTTGTCCACTTATAGCAACTGTGAAAAGTCAGCTGAATCCCATGGTTACGGTGGCAGGAACGTCTCCCTGCGCAATTTCGGCGTGTGGCGGGTACAGCGGGGTGCTTGAAAGAAAAGGATTTCAAGAAGGCTGCCGGATTCAAGTCAGGCTTTTTCGCAGCTCGTTTGTTCAAAGCAATCGACACAGATGGAAATGGAATGCTCACATGCGATGAGTTTGTCAACTTCATGTACGCGCTGGAGTGCCAGGACCTGCGTGGCAGGCTTCGGATCATTTTCAATGTATACGACATAGATGGTTCTGGAGGATTGACGATGAACGAGCTGGTCGAGCTACTGATGGTGAGCACAGGATCTTCCGGCTATTGCCAGACTTTTTCTTTTCTGCAGTTACGCTTTTGCGCGTAAAAACGTAAAAATGCGAGAGGCGCTATTTTACGGCTATATTTACGGCTCGTTGGGGCACTCACATTACATGATGAATTCGCATACAAAGGTTAGCCTTCCGCCCCTTCGAGCACACACAGCATAGCGTCCATTTCCCATCGGCAAGGAACACGACACCATCGACAAAAAAAGTCATTTTGTGTACACTACAGCGCGTCTCGCGGCCACTCCCCAGATTCCTTGAATGTGCATGTACAGTCTTTACGGACACCGAATCAAAATTTACGTATTCTTATACCTAGTACTTACGTGGAGAAACGTAAGTACATTTTTTAGCGTAAATGCGCGTAAATCCTCAGTGTTTGCGCTGTAAATACCAAGCCTACCTTTGCCCCACCCGAGGGTGCATGATCTCAGTTAACTGCTGACTGAATTCTGCAGATCACAGGGGCTATGGTCAGTTGATACTCGTCGCTGATTGCTGAAAGTGTGCGCTTCAGGCAAGTGTGGAAGAGAGCAATTCCCAGATGGAGGTGGAGCTTGTTAAGCACCTTGCAAAGTGTATAATGCACACCTTCGACATCGACGGGGATGGCGAAATATGCTTTGAGGAGTTCATGGTGAGAGCGTGAGTGCCGACACACGGGATTTCCTTACAAGATGTTTTTCCTGTTTTTCATAAGTACGACCTGAAAAAACAATCCAAAAAATAGATTAAAGCTTGTGAGCACGTTTGGACGATTGGTGATGCGGCTTCACATTCCACAGATGTCAGCTGGTGATAATGTGAGATGAACAGACACTGGTAGAAAACGTCATGTTTGCGATGCCAGCTGCGATGCCATTTCGACACAAACTGATGCCGTCACAGTGAGTGCGATGGCATAAAAGGGGCTGTGATGGCGTCAATTTGTGTCAAAATGGCATCGCAACTAGCATCGCAACCTGGCTGTTTTCTACTGGTGAGAGAAGCGAAAACTGGCAACGCTCACAAGCGGTCGCTCCCGGGCAAAGGAAGCAAAGTGTTAACCAGATGCGATGAAATATTGCTCGCTTTACATGTTCCCAGTTAATAATCATCATATGCCCATATTCATTTCACCACATTTTAGCACTATTTTCCCATGTACAGTTGCACCATATTGACGACATTTGCTTTTTAGGTACTTGTCTATAACCTCGCCCTTACGAGCATCAGTGTATTTTCTTCCAGAAGATCTATGCGCATGTAAGCTTCCACAAATTTCCCACAACCGAAGGTTATGAGTCCTTTTGATCCCGCAAAAACATGAAAAGCGACTGGATCAAATGCGATACGCAATGCAACGTGAAGCAATCGTTTCATGCTACAGGTGCCATCATAAACTTGAGAATGGCGTACAGAATAATAGAAGAGCAAGAACATATCAGCGCCATATTGTGCATGCTATTCGAGTTGGAAACATTCTCTCTAAAGGAACAACACATGGTCATATGATATCAGTACAGTAAAAACACGAATGGATGGATGTTCTTACATCTGCTTGCCGCGAAACACAGCAGCGCTCAAACTCCTGTTTTGCGACTATTTGAACGGCGTTTCATGTGCTCCGTTTGCAGCAAGCAGCTTCCGTGCATCCCGATGTATTCGCCGGCCTGACGTTGGCGGGCCTCAGTGCGGAGCCCAAAAAGAGGCAACTGAGCATGTGGGGGAAAATATCTTGCACACTGCGGCGCCCCTTCCGAGCAGTCGTCAACAACCCTCAACGATCCCTTTGGATCGTGGTGCTCACCGCCGGCCTCCTGGGAATGTTCTACTGGCGTTTGTCGATGTACCTGGCCGGACCCAAGTTCCATCTGATGGGGTGGACACTCCCGCTAGCCAAGGGCTGTGGCCAGATGGTCAAACTTACAACGACGCTCATATTGCTGCCCGTGTCAAGAACCACGATGACGTGGCTGAGGTGCGCACCAGACGTTGCGTGAACCCTGCGACGCAATTCCCGGCATGGATACGCTGGGTTCAGTATTGTAGACCAGGTTTACCTCACTTCATTTTCGTGCCAATGGCATGAAAAATGAAATGAGGCTGGTCTGTTCTACAGGCACGATACACGTCTGCGTGGCGTACGTGGCACACGTGGCATACATGGCTTCAGCGGTGCCGTGCACACGGCGATTTGCGAACCCATCTAATATGTGGTCTCTGCCCGCAGACACGTGAAATGGGCATTTCGCAAGTGTTACTTCAACCTGACCCACTTTAATGTAGGGGTTTTGCACCGGAAAGTATCTGTTGGATCGGATTTGCGGATGTGGGAAAATGTGGAGCTCTAGTCCCAAGGTCAATGACATAACGTCGTTTTGCCTGTGCTCAAGGGAGACTCCATTGCGTCACATTGTTCCCTTCGACGATGCCATGCAATTACACATCCTTCTGGGAACGCTCGGGTTCATCTTTGCTTGGATTCACACTATTGCTCATGTCGAAGACATCTACAGATGGGGAGATCCAAGATTTTCAGAATTGTATCATGCCGCTTTCCCAGGAGAACGGAACCAACCCTCGCATTTCGAGCTGTGCACGTCTTTGATTGCCGTCACCGGCATCATTCAGTTGATATCGTACTCCCTGGTGTTCCTCACGGCTTCCAATTGGCCACGTCGGGCACCATGGCTGGTGAACACGCCACTCGGAAAGGTGCGAACAGTGTTAGCGTTGTCATCGGCTCTTCGCAAACATTAGTTCTAACATGTTCAATTGCTTCCAGTTCTATTCGCGTCCCTTGGTGTTTCAACCTGGTTTGCTGTGTTTGATGTCTACGAAGATGCGGCCAATCATTCACATCCAGGTGACCACGTATTTGCGCTTCATCGATGCTCAACACATTCACCCACAACACTCATGCACATCACAACACTTGGAGATCATGAATTTTGTCAATGAGAAGATCCTTTTGGCCGTTTCCTCGAGGAAACATTCGGTACAAGAGCACTATCGCGCACTTGTTGCCTTCAATGCAATGGTATGTAAACTAATGCATTCTCAGGAACTTAGCGTGCACAAAACACAGTTGTTGCATCATAACTCTCAACTGGATGAGACAGCTCCGTCACTGCTGATCGCGTTGCTCTTGTGCTGGAAGCAGTATTTGAACAACTTCACATTGATATGGCGTGTGCACCATCTGACCGTGGTGTACCTGGCTTCCTTGCTCTTCCATCCAATGCCACACATCCCAAATGAGAAAAACGAATGGGGACACAGCGATGTTTGGGTATGGACTGGTGAGTAATAATTTCAACTGCTGCTTCACCTTTACATATAGTTGTCACAGGTATATTTCCATTCAGGATTCCATATGCTGTCGGGGAAGGCAAGAAGTGCCGTCATTTGGAATATGTGGCAATTCACAGATAATTTGTCACCATCGATGCAATGCTTTGCTCTGTTTTGTAAAGACCGCTGCAGATGTCATTGTTCGCAGTGCCCTTCCCAGATGGCTGTTCCTTGCAGCGAATCAAAAGATTGCTACTAATAATAGGTGCGTCCACAGAAGTTGCTAATGAGCTGCCTCAATTGTTTGATACTCAGGTGTTCCGGTGTTGATTTACGTCCTGGAGAGGATCGCACGAATGTATCGGCAGACAAAAGACGTCCGAATTTTGTGTGCCGAATTGCTGCCCGGCAAAGTGCTATCCCTCATGATGAAAAAGCCAAAGGGCTTTGAGTACGAGAGTGGCATGTATCTGTACGTGAACTGCCCAAGCATTTCCCAGTGGGAATGGCATCCTTTCTCAATAACTTCGTCACCAGGGGCGGACCACCTGAGTCTGCACATACGCGCGGTCGGAGACTGGACAGAAGAGCTGTACAATCGCTTCCGTTGCTTCGGCCAGACAGTGCACCACGAAGAATTGCTTCAGACATGCTTGAAGACGTTCGCTCCCACATTGGACTCCAATATCACAGGCGTTGAATCCAGCGGCACAACGGGCCCCCTTCCATCTGCAATTACACTGGCGCGTGCCTCACAGGGAGTACTGAAAGGCGTACCGCTTGTCAGAGACTCAAGTGGGCTTGATCGCAAGGGCTCCGCATGTGACAATCAGCTTGCAGACGGCATTCCCCATCACATGCATCTGTCGATGAATCCTCTTTGGGAGAGCAACTCCCAGGAATCGCGAGACTATGATGGGGGCGGCATGAAAGAAAGGCAGATGGACACCACGGGACTGGGCGAGCACCGAGCGATGATCCTTCTAAAGGCCAAAAACGAGGGACCTGGTTCTGCGGCTCTTTCTGGACAAAAGGTGGCTTTAGCGCATTCCGTTCCAGGCTCACTGGCAGCGAACGATTGGACCCCGAAGTTGCAGACCACCACTGCCAATGAGGCGACTGGAATTAAGGCAGTGGCCAACACGGGCAAGTTCTTGTACTCTCGCCCACGTGTGGCGCCGCACCAACGCCACCATTCATTCTTGCAGGACCTCGCTCACGTGAGGCTGAGCCCCGAGATGGCGTCCAGCGAAGCTCCCCTGAAGCTGCGGTTGGATGGGCCATTTGGAGCACCGGCGCAGGGATACAGAGACTACTCCGTCATGCTGTTGATTGGAGCTGGTATTGGTGTCACTCCATTTGCGTCCGTGCTCAGCGATCTGGTCCACAGGATGAGAAATATTTCTCAGGTTCGTGTGTATTTTCGACAGCAACCCTGCGAGGCCGAAAATTTATCTTTCTGTCATCTTGCTTGAAATTTCTTCTTGGTGCGAATGGGGAATGTGCATGTAGATGTCATTTCGAAATGCTCCTCTGCTGGGATCTCTGATTGACACATGGGATGTTGGATTGTGGATGCCTGTATGTGACATACACAAATTTGATATTGGCGTGCCCGTCTATCCAGGGATCTGCTGTCCCACGTTTCCAGAAAGTTTACTTCTACTGGAGCGTCCGCTCGCAGTCCGAAGTCTTGTGGTTCAGCCGCGTATTGGAGGCCATCAGCAAAGAAGATGTGCTCAAAATTTTGGATCTGAACATCCACATAACGGGTCTGAGACAATCTAACGACGTGCGAACGCTGCCTCTCAAGGTCAGTGGCTCCTTGCGATTTGTTCTTACTGAAGGCACATATGCCTCGTAAGCAACTCCAGTGTTCTGAGAGCGATTGTGTGCTAGAAAAGCTGTTGATGCCCTTACCATTGTGTGGTCTCACACGGAAACCACCATTTGTGAATATGCAGTACTGGAATTATCGGAAATGTTTCTTCTGCGATTAATTCGAGTGGGTTGCTGAGCTTGAGACATGTGTTGGAGCAGCTAAAAGACAAAATCTGCTTAAATCTGAAATCATTACATATGATTTCAGCGGAGATCAGTCTTTCTGCCAATCCTTTTCTGCATTCCTATCATTGTCAACGGCAGCCTATTACTGGCACAGCATGCTGTCACGGAAGTCATTTGTCTAGCCGTTCCAATAATGTAGGCAAGCAATGTGGAAAGTCCATGTGGATTTAATGATCGATGCAATGTGGAATTGCACAATACTGAAGAGGCCAGTCCGAAATGAGCGTCATTTATTTTTTTAGATTTTTGACAACGATTCAGGTAGGATCAAGGCCAGAGAGGGGCCTGCAGAGGCTCGACGCTCAGCCTCGGTGTTCATAATAATTAATCAAGTGATGTTCACCTCTTCCCCCAAATGGAGGGAAAGAAAGAAGAGAGTAACTGGGATTGTTCTTGTCGCGTGTGCGCAGCTGGCACAGGTGGCGGTACACAAGCAGACGGGGATGGACGTAATGTCGGGGCTTAACGGCCGGGTCCTGACTCGATTTGGCCGCCCTGACTGGGCCAGAGTCTTCCGCGACCTGCAGATCCGACATGGCAAGGAAAAGAAGATCGGTGTATTCTACAGTGGCCCAAACACGCTGGCGTCGGTGCTCAAGAGACTGAGCAACAAGTACTCCAAGCATGGAACCACGTTCAATTTTACGAAAGAAGCTTTTGGGTACTGGTGAAGCCAGCTTATTCATGAATATATTGTCAGGGTCACTAGTCTGTGAAAGTGCAATAGTTGCATTAGGGAGCCAGGCCTGCCGCAAACGCAGACGAGGTGTTGGGGGCAAGGGTTGTCCAAATAATGGAATGGAACTGCCTATTCAACCCACTGGGCCATGCAGAAGCCCATTGGAATTCTTGTGGTGGCTTCAGTGGAGGCGTAATAATTAATTTTGCAGGGGAAATTTTGACGTTCAGCGCCGGCCGTTTGTGAGGTATTGGGAAGCGAGTTGGGATTATCGATTGAGTCTATGCGCCTGTGGCGTTGCGACCACTTGCGAATATATGCGGCATCCACGTTCCGCAGTGCCTTATTTTAAATGCTGAAGTTTCAAATCTGAGTCAGGGCGCCCACTCTTTGGCACCGTTCGGCTTGGTTTTTCCCCAACTGTCGGTGTGCGATGTTATGGGAAACTGAGATAACTTTGTTCTCATGGCTCAAGGAGTGCCTATAAACAGATATTGATGTCATGTATACAGCATCCAATTCACTTGCTACAGTCCAGGCATATACCACAGCTTATGAATGTACGTTGCCGGGGCTGCAGGATAAGCAGCTGCTCTTCCAAGATAGCTCAGAAGGGAGGTGAAGGGCGATTTACCGCTCAGGCTGTGACAAGGTGGAATGGGTTTCTGGGGAAATCGATATCATGGCACAAGATTGTGTTTTTGAGACAACACGGTTTGCGTATACCTTAGTTGTTTCATTACCACAGTCGATCAATTACAGCAATATGTGCTGCGATATTGCTTGGGTTGGCTGTGCGCGTCGCAGTAAGCATGTTAGTGCATGGAAAGTAGGCGGATTTGGCACTCTGGTACGGCGCGCGGTAGACCGGGAATGGTATCGCGTCTCAGTTGTTCGAAGGTCACAGGTTCCTGGTGATATCTGTTCTCCGATGCAATAAAAGTGGGCACACAGCATGTGGTGACACGAAGAGGCACCGGCACTGACGGCTGGTTGATTCCGTTATCTGCATCAACTTTCAGACAGCTGGGATTTATTTTCCCGCCGTGGAAGCAGCTGTATCTTGTACTTCGTTTTTATCTTTGACAGCCATGTGTATGAAATGCAGACGCGCGGCGAGTGGATAAAATTGACGTATATGAGGTACACAAGAGAGGCTTGGATGTGTACATGTCCGTTGGTTTTTGCAGGGCGCGAAGGCACCGCTCCATCTTTTTGAGTGAACTTTAACATTGGAATCTGGTAGCGGAAATGGGAGCTTGGGACAACTAGTTCTCATGAACCAATGTGCGGCGCCTAAATTTCGAGGGTGCGATCGATGGAAAACCGATGTCCCCTTTCGCGTTTGGTGTGTCCACATATATTTCTTGCGAACACTGGAGCTTGTTGTTCAATTCTGATTACGCAGCTACACAATCAGAATCCCTGAGAAATAAGAACCCTGTGGGGTATGACGATGGACTGCGTTCTATGGATGAAGAGCTTTCCATCTCATAAAGTTTGTAAGCAGAATCGTATTTTTTGGAGACCGTGATCCAATGAATATGCGTATACACATGTACACACACACACAAAACGCGCAGCCGTTCGCATTATCGTGAGATCGGATCCACGTGCACCGTGGCGATGGGCATCATGGAAATTGACTGGCAACATAAGCTGTTTATCGAAGCCTCATTAATGAATACTCCAATGGCAATTTTCAAGCCGTTCCACACATTCATAATGAGAATTGTTCGAACGCACAGCTCGCAATGCCACACAGTGACCATCGCCTCGCTGGGTGGACAACCGATGTCTCGCGGCTGGCGACTGGTTTGATTTCTCAGGCTGACAACGAGAATTCATGTCGAGTTCACACCAACAAGCTGTTGTGTGGGATGGCCTGCCCCCCCCCCGCCGCATAGGAAGTTAAAGCATGAAATTTGATTTGGAAGCTATTTTGAAATGGAATTACATATTTGATTGAGCTTGTTTTATTTTCGAACATCTTTTCCGCCACATTCGAATCCGCTGTGAGATTCTTGAGATTATCCCATGAATATATGAGATATTTTTGCAGGTCAAAGAAAAAAATTGTTCAGAATGTCTTGTTGACACGGAATTATGTGAGCAACCGTGGGCTTGCTTACACATGCAGCTTGCAATGCCTTGGTCATTCTGTCATGCAGCAATTACTTGTCACAACATTGTTTGGAGTTGCGAATCTATATTTTGAAAGGAAGATTACTCCATGAATTACTTGAATGGTCGTAATGTACTATATGAACGGTGGATTGGAGAGTAGCAACGAAACTCTCTCCACATGTACCACTGCTGCCTATCTTTTAAAAAAAAATCAATGAGTGGTGCAAATGCGTGCAGGTAAAGCTATGCGTGCATTCACGAAATCGAGATTAACGATTAGCGGCATTTGTATTTTGTATGCAATTTCAATGTTACCATATGCTGTGAGATGTGTATATAAATTTCAAAGAAAGAAGGCAACCGCAACGAATGAGCCTTGGCGATTCTATCGCATGAATGTTTGGGGAGATAGCTGAGTTCTAATTTCATTATTTTCCATTCAACTTATTTCTGCCGTGCTCGAAATAGAGCGTCTGCCACACAAATTTCCCTTAGCTGGGGCAGAAATTAGCGCTCGCGCACTGTATCTGGAGCTGGTGATCAGGCGGTAGTGCAGTACCATTGTGTGCAAGATTTCAACAATAGTACTATCGCGTCCCTGATAAACTTCTGTGCTAGTACCATTTACGACCCAGCCCAGAAGTAGAAATAAGGTGCAGCACAGCACAGCTAAGGTGTTTGTACCGCGGCACAGTAAGAAGCAAGCCCCCTATTATGATGCTAGAAGGAATCTGGCAGGGCACAAGTCTGCTAGCCGCTGGTCGCACAAGGCTATTGGATGGTGAAAGAGAGGCTTTATCGCATCGACTACAGCTGGAAGCGATGCGTTTGGGGAAAAGATAATTTTGAGTAATGTGAACAACCCATTCTGCACATAAAAACGTACAACCAGATATTCTGTTGAATCTTGAAGAAACAAGTCCCATGGCCTCCGGGTCCCATTTCCCTCCAGTGTTTACCTGACTTGTTTACACTGATCCGTCATTGTTCTGTTACTTATGTCCCTCAGCAGCGAGTTTACACATTTAAATGCGAGAAATATCCCACGCTCATTTGCTTCAAAACCGTGGCCACGAGGTTGCTGTAAGGATTGCAGCTACCGTATATTGCCATAGGGAAAACGCATTGCTGTGCCTCACTATTGTCTTATTTCTCCGAACATTGTCAGGATTGCCAACGCAAAGTGCCTTTCTTTCAGGTGCTTCACACACCTAGGTGTGTGACATCTAGGTGTGTGACATCTAGGTGTGTGACACCTAGGTGTGTGACATCTAGGCCTAGATGTCCTTCTCCCACCATCACCACACCGCCTGTATTTGATCAGCTGTGTTGTTCACCCGAACTTCATGTCAAAATATATGTACTGTTAAGAGCTCTCCTTACGAACATGCCAATCGAAGGAGGAATTGTAGTTTTCAATGAGGATTTTGTTGCATCTACACGACCCAAAGCCTCACGGATCTACAGTTTAAGCTTCAGGTTTCAAGTTTGCGCAGTCCTTGCCATCGCTGGGGTCGGTAAGACTGGGGGACCGCCTTGAATGTGTGACTGAAAATCTGAAAATCTAGGCACTGCGAAAAATCCAGCCACAATTTTATCCCTGTAAATGGGCGTCAATACCCTCGATCCGCATGCTGCTCAGACCTTCAAAATGGCCATGCCCTGGCCAGGCCCCATGGGCCGGGTCGGAGCCGAGAGCGAAGGCCTGGAGAGATTATACTAAGGGAAAAGGGAGAGTCCTTGAGATGTCGAGCGCCTCGGGCGTGGTCCGGGTTTGTTGGAGCAGCTGCCCTGAGCAAGAATGTGGCGCACGGAGCTGTCCTTGCATGTGAATATGTCATTTCAACCCTTTGGGTGTCCCCAGGGCACATCCGAACTGTCCTCGAATTCGTCGGACGTCTGAAGACTCAGGGGCTCTGCTCACGCCCTGTGCACATCACAGGTCTCGCTCACTCCGGACGTGCCCAAGTGCCTCGATCTTTATGCGGACGCTCTGGCCGTTTCATAGTTTCTTGGAGAGCTGTCGGAGAGCCTCGGGCATGCCTGCCGCCCTAAAACATGAAGGGACAGCAAAACAGCAGCTGCATATTGCTATTCCTCAACAATTGCCAACTCCCACCAAAAAAGTTGTGCCCAGCAGCTGAGATTCGTCAAAATGCCTCACCGGATCATTCTCACCAGTCTTCTCATTTCACCAGCAGCCATGTAACGCGGCTTGAATTCCATTTGATTCCTTGTACTGACGTACATGACCTCTGGCCACTTGACTGAGTCACTTGACTGAGCCATGTCTTGACACATGACATGGGTCTGTGCTCCTGGTGTGATCTTCTCTGTGACTCATCTCACACCTGCCCTGTTGCGCCCTGACGGGTCAGTCAGCAAAATGTGAGATGGGCGTTGTGTTTAGGGACACTTGCCAGTTTTGTCAGCCTGTGACGAGGTTGCGTCACATCAGCAAACCATCGTGATGGCTCCTGCTCCCAGGGGGCACACGCATGGCGGACGCAGGACGGCTGGGGCTGGAAGGGAAGGGGGGTCCAATACAGATACCAGCTCATGCTATGCTCTACAACTCCCGCTGTATGAGAAGTCCCAAGCAAAGGGCCGAGGCGACTGGCCGCCCGCTGCACCAGGCGGGCGGCTCCCACATGCTCTCCACGGGATTGGAGCAACACAATGGGCGCTGCGTACCGTGGCGATCGATTGGGAACCGTCTGTGAGCGGCTGCCTCAGCGGGTTGGGCCGCCCGACGTGCCCATGACGGTGGCCCCCAGCGACAAGTCGGGCTCGACGATGCACGCGGTGGTTGTAACGCCCTTCGCGGAGGTCTGCGGAGTGCCGCTGTCAGAGGAGGTGCGTCCGAGGGAAGGGGCGGTGGGGTGGGCTGGGGATCCATTTGCGATGGGTATTGCGCGTAGCGACGAGTGCTTCGTCGGACGGTTAGGAGGGCATTTGGTCAGCATGCCGGTGGCCGCCGTTCTGAGAGGGGAGCCGCGCCGTGATCCATGAAGATTTGTATGGGGTGCGGTGAAGGGCCGGCTGGCGCACGTGTGCGCGGACAGGTATACCATCCGCACAGGTGCGGCAAATGGGGTCGCCGGCGTGTGCCCTGCGCTGGCAAGGGGCCGGAATCGGATCCATGTCTGGGGTGCTGGCATTCTTGGCCAGTACAGGATGTGACTGCGCATGCGGTACAACGTCATGAACACGTGATTGGGACTCGATGCCGTTACGCAGCAGTACGATTTCATGAACTTGCGATTGGGACCCGATACCGGGACACAGGCACTGCTGTCTGATTGTCTCATTGCGGTGTTTGTCAACTCCGTTCGCGAGAGGGCGCGCCAAGAGCCCCTTGAAATCTGGCGGCGCCAGGGCACGTATTTCATTGGATGCGTCTCGTCTCCAACATGGTTGGATGTTGTGGCACAATTAGGGCGAAGCTGTGATGCTGGCGATGCTGACAGGCGGCCACATCGAAGCCAAGGCTGATTTAGTTGGCAGCAAGCGCCATTTGGGCGATGCCATTTTAACGCTGAGCAGCACCAGTGATTGCGATGGGATGAAGCTAAATGTCATGGCATCAATACGTTTCAAAAGGGACCAATTCAATTCCGGCGCCAGTTCCAACACATCTCGAGTCTGGATACTGGACACGGGAACGATGCGACCGGGGATGATGCCTAATCTGCCAGGGCTCTCTGTTGAGCGCCGAAGCATTGAGCTGCAGACAACGCTGCCATGTTCTGTCCCAAACATGGCGCACATGCTTTACTGCCATTTCACCCCATTTTGCCCAAGTTCAACTTTATCTACGAATGATGATGTCTTTTCCCTCCCGATCCTTTGGGTTTGATCTGCATTGATACGTTAGGAGCTCGCTGTACCTTTACAAGGCAAGACGCTAAAATCGCCAATTTCTGGAACGATATTTCAGATGTGTGTCTAGTCGCCACATGCGCAAGACATGGTGCTACGTGCTGTGGGGATTGCCACATGAGAAACGACGGGTTTGTCTCCACATTGTCGCTCAGAAGTCCGTCAGACCGAATTTCTGCACCCGTTTGTCTCAGTTTTCATACAGTCGGTTCTAAAACTTGGTGCCCGGCTCGCTTTGCCCCCCGTGCTGTTGCAGATTGCTGCAACGCATCGTGCTTGGCCACAATCAGCTGCCGAGCAGTGAGCGTTCAGAAATCGATTGTTTCCTCTGCATGGTTTCTTGAGACGTTCGGTTTCTCCCAGGGGGCAAACTCAGTGTTCTTGCTCGATGCCATCGAGTGCCTTACCAGTCGCTGGCGCAATTTGCTTGCTCGCTGAGCGCCCGGCGAAAGCGTTGATTTCCTTTTTCCATCTAGGACATTTTTCAATTTTCTTCCGCCTTGTGGCCCAACTGCAGGTTGGCTGCAACGTACATGGGTTCTGTGCACGCCTTTGTACATGTAGATACAACTTTCCATGATGGAAATTCCATTCTGGGGAACAAAAATGTGCCATCTGTACACAGCGCCCCGTCTCCAGCGCGCTGGTGAATTCCCTGGATTGTATTTGCGTACACACAGAATGGCAGGGCCTTTACGCCACCCAAGCGATAGTTGTGGCCTTTATAAAGGGCATGAAACCACACACAGGAATTGTTCCAGATGCTCGTCTACTCCACACACTGTGCTCTACTCCAATATTCAAGCGCATTGGTGAATTGCCTATATTACGTTGTTCGCCATAGGATAATACAGCCCTTGCACTAGAGTAGTTGGTGGACACAACGTTGGGGTGCCCGGGGAGGCGAAGACCTAGCAAATTTCCAATGACAATGTATGGCATCATTTGTATGAGGACCTCGTACGCCGGACATGGCCAGGACATGGCATTATCTCTGGATATGCAAATTTTTACCGACGTTGGCTGCTTTGGTCGAGAATGAAATGCGTAACTGTACTTGTACATATGGGCATCCGGGTACCAGCGTGTGTGCACGCACACCAACATTGGCGTTACAAAAATTGCTCTGATGACGAAACTAATAAATTTGCTCTCTCGTGTTGTGGTTTACTCACATGCTAGATGGGCACGCAACAGCGTGAGGTCAAATTCCAGCTCATCGCTCGACGCGGTCAGGAGCTGATCAGCGCCCCATTCTTCACAGTGAACTCTTTTCTCTGCATCTCCCCTGCCCCAAACCGAAGCTCCCTTGCTACCCCCAGCCGCACCCACCCCACCAACGGCCGATTGATCCGTGCGCACTGGGCGCCAGGCCGCACACGCTTCGCTTTGTCAAGCCGGACGACATGGGGCGCGGTGTAGTTGGTGATGCGCATCATCCGCCTCGAATTATGACGTCTTCTTGCACTGGCTTGCGCGGCGGACGCGGCCAGTACTTGCTTTCGGGAAGCGTTCCGATGAAGGCACACACCCCTTTGGCCAGCCCACCCGGATCAGGCGGATGTGGCGACCTGGCCCTTGGCCCAACGTCCATCAGGGGGCATGACAGTGTGGGCTTGGGCTGGCGCGCGTCCCTGCGGCTCTTAGTTAAGGAGAACCGGGCGCGAGCCACGGAGGGCGCGCATGCGATCCCCCCTCTGGGCCCTTGCTGCGGCGTGAGGGGCGACCGCAACGGCGGTCACGAGCGATTCGGAGGCGATGACGAAGGTGCATGCATGGATATGCGACCTCGGGTGGAATGTTGCGTTGACCACCGGGGGGTTGTGTGTGCGAGCGGGGCGGGGGTTGGGCGGGGGTGAGTGGGGTGCGATGGATCCCCAGCTGTGTGTGCCGGGTCTATGGCCGCCGTAAGGCGTTGGATATTGGCGGGGCATGCGATCTTTGGGCGCTCCGACCGCGGTACAGCGGGACCGCAGGCGGAAGTACGCAGTCGGTCCGGAGAAGACATGATTCCGCGATTCCTCGTTGCCCCTCCGGTGGCGCTGGTGTCTCTATGCCCTTGCGTTTCTCAAATCGGGGAGCACGCGACCGCGGCGACGATCGCCCGCCGACGATATCTGCGGGCGGCTGCCCGATCCGGAGAGGGCACGCAACGGAAGGCTGGCGCTTCACGCGGCGTGATCCGGCGTTTCCATGACATTCAAAGGGCGCATTTGGGTGATTCTGCGCTGCTGACGCGTCGTTAGAGGCGTTGTGCGCGGCAGGGCCTGTGACGGGCGTCCGCCCCTGGGCGCCAGCCCCTGGGCGCTATCGAGGCCACTACACAGTTGCGCGTCCCACCATCAGGATGTGGTGAGTACTGCGGGCGGTACCGGCCCTTGGCTGCTTCCTCCGCTTTGGATTGCGGCCACCCCTCGCCCGCGCCCCTACCGCGCCCTCCCTCCCTCTGGGCCTGTGCCTTTCCCTGCCGGCGGGTGTCAGCTGGGGAGCAAGCCCTGCCTCACTAACCAGCAGCGGTATCGCGGCATTCTGCTGAGAACCGATTAGTCAACGCGGTTGGCAGTCACTGACCGAACGTCCACGACTAGGGGGGTGGCCGTTGCGCTGGTGCGAGCGCCCCTGCCGCGGGCTGGGACGGGGATAGCGTCGCCGGTGGACGAGCGCACAAGTCCCTGCGCTCAGTCCCTGTGCGCTTCGTTGCGGTCGTTGGGGGCGGCTCTCCGGCACGGAGCAACTGATGGAGATGCTTTGGGCGATCGAGCGTGCGATTCCGCGGACAGACGAGCATTTCGTATTGCTCAGGGCACATTGGCAGCCTCGCGCTGGCGCATGATTTATCCCAGGCGTGATTTCCCGCTTGCAGGACACATGGCGTAACGGCTGAACGCATGTTATCCTTGCACGATGCAGGGCCGTGAAGCAGGGGGTGGTCAACAGGCGGGGAGTGTCAACATGGGTGCCTGTGAAGGGGGAGTCTGCGCGATGCCCGGAAGTGGCAGAGGGCAAGGCGCCTGCTCAGCGCTTCAAAGGATGCCCTCGGAGCCGCAGCCCATCAAATCAGCGAACCCTCTTGTCCGGCTTGAGACCATGGTGAGTGCCGATCACTCACCAACAGTGGAGTTTGAACTTGCTTAGACTTTGCTTGTCCCATACATTGCCCTCGTAATATAATCGCTGCGGGGAGATTACGTGCAATTTTAACATCCGCACTGTCTGTTCTCAGAAAATTGCCTGAATTACACAGAGTCCACGCAAAGTGCTGATGGCTGGCCATGAACAAAAGGACGTCCAGAGTTCCTGAAGCTGAAGGAGACTCGAGACCTGCCTAAGCGCTGGTCCCATAACAGACAGACGGGCTATTATCCTCCGAGAAACAGGATTAATAGCAACACCTCCACTGTCTCCAACAAAAACGCATGGCCACAGTACCAGCCGGGTTACCAATGCAGGGCTTTTGTTGGAGCTGTGGCCTGGGGTGTTACCCTGCGTGGTGCTGCCAAACACCTGCATCACAACTCGTGTACAACAGAGTGACGAATGTATTGTCTCAGGGGCGACAAAACATAGCATTTTGCCCTTCGGGTAGGTCACGCAGCATCACAGCATTTGGCAATCTGTAGTGTTTGGATTTCGTGGCAGCAAGAATACACGGATCGTGGTGAGCCTTACCATTTTGAAACATCAGAAGAAGAGAAAGCTCAGTCTCCCCAGTGTTGGCATGCAACAGACCATCAAGCTATTGATTCTTCCCCAAGGTGTGGCTACTGCCTGGGGGATGCGTCATTCTCGAATTTTGTTGCCGAATGGCTTGCTATCAACTGCGCTGCCTTCACACAGCAGCCCTCCTTTGTAGACCACTGCTGTCTTGCCCTGGGCTGGCAGTGTTGGCACCTTGTCCATTCGCAGCCGCTGAGAAAACTCACGGATATTGGCTTTGGTGACAGGAACGTCTCCTTGCACAATTTCGGCATGTGGCTGGCAAAACGGGGAGCCTGGAAGAAAAGGATTTCAAGAAGGCTGCAGAAATCAAGTCAGACTTTTTTGCAGCTCGTCTGTTCAAAGCAATCGACACAGATGGCAATGGACTGCTCACTTGTGACGAGTTTGTCAATTTCATGTATACGCTGGAGTGCCAGGACTTGCGTGGCCGGCTTCAGATCCTGTTCAATGTATACGACATGGATGGTTCTGGAGGATTGACAATCGATGAGCTGGTTGAGTTGCTGTTGGTGAGCATGGGATTCTCTGGGGTTTGCATTGTGAAGTTGCTGTGAGTACAGCGCTCAATGGAGCAGGTGTGTCACTTGCCATGGTTGTGCAGCCAGCTGACTAAACTGATCTTGAAAGGGAAAGAAACTGTAGTGCTCCCTTCACGTCGGCCCAGTTGTTGCAGTGAGTGAATTGGAATTTCCAGTGTTTTTAGGTAGCAGCAGGGCCACTGCCTTAGATGTCCTAGGGGACTTCTTGCTTGCGCTTGGTATCTGATTGAATTCTGCAGAGGAAGTGGGGCTTGCGCCTTGTAACCCAGTTGCTGAATGCCAGAAATGTGTGCTGCAGGCCAGTGTGGAAGAGAGCAATTCCCAGATGGAACTGCAGCTCGTCGAACACCTCGCAAAATGCATAATGGACAACTTCGACACCAATGGCGATGGTGAAATATGCTTTGAGGAGTTTGTGGTGAGCATATGGGCAGGGATTTGGCGTTGATGCGTTGAAGTTGACAAACCAGTCAACAAAATGCGGGAAGGCATCTCTTATCTTGTTGTGAATGTTCCTTGCGCATGTCTGAGCTCATATTTCATGGAAATGGCCGGCAGTTTTGTAGATAATGTAGGGCTTTGTGTTCCTCCAGAGGTGCTGAATCGGATGTCGATGTCCAATGCCTGGCACAGCAAGTGTGGGTGAGCAGTGCTTTTGATCCTGTTCGAGCTGGGCAGTGACTGAAGATCAGGAACAACAGTTTGTGGCTGTCATGTGAAGCAGCCACTTCCAATTTTTTGGCATCAGAATCTCGAGAATGGCATTGTTGCTGAGTGACAACCAGGTCACATTCAGAGGCATGCATGCCTGTTGGATTTGGACGAAACCTGTTTCCCACTCACAGGGCAACATGTGGCCACCCGCTGAGGGGTGTGAAAAGGCGAGCAGGGGTGGATACCGCACAAATATCTCGGGTTGCATGATGCCATGTGTGCGATCGCTCTCGGCGTGGCACCGCACGTTTGGCGCTTGGGGGTATCCGCACGATGCCTTCCCCCATCAAGCGACCCAAGATGCTCCAGCATGTGCATGTATTGAGACACAGCAGGTTCGAAACTCTGATGAACAGATGAATGATGCTCTATGTGCTCTGTCTGCAGGAAGCTGCCTCCAAATACCCTGATCTGGTTGTTGGGCTGACGTTGGCAGGCCTGGGTGCTGAGGCCAGGAAAAGGCGGCTGAGCATGTGGGGGCGAATATCTTACACACTGCAGCAACCCTTCCGAATGGTGATCAACAATCCTCAGCGAGCACTTTGGATCGTGGTGCTGACCGCCGGGCTGCTGGGAATGTTCTACTGGCGCTTGTCGATGTACTTGACTGGGCCCAAGTGCGACCTGATGGGGTGGACACTGCCACTAGCTAAGGGATGCGGGCAGATGGTGAAATTCACAACGACGCTGATATTGCTGCCTGTGTCAAGAACCACTATGACATGGCTGAGGTGCGTGTGTGGCAGTCTGTGATTGCTATGACTTAGGGCACTGACACATTGATCCAGACAACTATGTGAGGGAGCAAAGGGATGCATCATTGTGCTATTGGCATGATGTTCAACTGGCCGATGGTGCCGTGTATCCGACGCACGCCATGATTGCTGCACTTTTTCATCCCCACGTTATTTGCTCAAAGCCAGTTTCAGACCCACCTGGTATTGGAGATCTGCATGAGCAATGGGTATTTGGGAAAGAGTTGTGCCCTGCTGGTGGGAAGCATGTGCTGGTTGTGCTGTGCAGAACTGAGCCATGTGCAACGCCAGTCTTGGTGATGACCTGTGAGAAACATGCTGACAGACATCGGTACCAGGCAGACTGAGACAATGCCACATCTTGGCTGTTCTGCAGGGAGACACCACTGCGCCACATTGTTCCCTTTGACGATGCCATGCAGTTCCACATCCTGCTGGGAAAACTTGGGTTCATCTTTGCTTGGATTCACACAATTGCCCATGTCAATGACATCTACAGATGGGGAGATCCAGAGTCCTCACAATTGTATTATGCGGCTTTCCCTGGAGAAAAGAAGCAGCCCACGCACCTTGAACTGTGCATGTCCCTAGTTGCAGTCACAGGCATCATCCAGCTGATATCCTATTCCCTGGTGTTCCTTACGGCTTCCAATTGGCCGCGGCGGGCGCCCTGGATGGTGAATACTCCGCTTGGAAAGGTACGAACAGCAGTTCATTGACTGCTGACCGAATTCATTTGGACATGTTTACCACAGCTGTCAGTTGGTGACTTTTCCCTTGTGGGCCGTTGTGGCTGTGCATCTCTTGCTTGGGTGCTCTTTAGGTACACCTTTGCATTCTTTTGAGTTCTTCAAATTCCTATCAGGGTTGCATATCACAACCTGATAAGAATTGAAGAACTTGTTGTTTCAGGTGGTGTAGGTTAAAGATCAAATCCAAATCTGTGCCAACTTATGTGTCATGATGTCATCCTTTGCTGGTTTGGGTAACTCTTAATGCTAACTGATTTCCTTTTGCGTTGGGTGCAGTACTTAAACAACTTCAAGTTGATATGGCGGGTGCATCACCTTACAGTGGTGTACATGGCTGCGTTGCTTTTCCATCCAATGCCACACATCCCAGATGAGAAAAATGAATGGGGACACAGCGATGTTTGGGCATGGGTCGGTGAGTACCACACTGCAGAGCCGTGTCAGTGTTTGACATATCACCAGTGTATTGCAGGGTGTATCTGCAATGGTTTCAATGCAAATGTCATACAGGAGGAATTTTGGTTCTCATTCCATCAACGTGCCTAGGCAGCCGAATGGAACCACTGCCATTTAAAGGACAGTTGTTGTCAACATCGCTCTGCTGCTGTGTTTATTTTTGTTGTTGTTGTTGCATGTCTCACGTGCAATGCCCTTCCTAGATGGCTGGTGTTCTTCCTGCAAATCTGGCTGATGCCTTGCCATTTGGCTTGGATGCTCAGGCGTTCCCGTGCTTATCTACCTCTTGGAGAGGATCGCTCGGCTGTATCGGCAGACAAAGGACGTTCAGGTTTTGTGTGCTGAGCTGCTGCCTGGCAAAGTGCTTTCCCTCATGATGACGAAACCAAAGGGCTTTGAGTACGAGAGTGGCATGTATTTGTACGTGATGTGCCCCAATATTTCCCAGTGGGAGTGGCATCCATTCTCAATAACCTCAGCACCAGGGGCAGACCACCTGAGCCTGCACATCCGTGTGGTTGGAGACTGGACCGAGGAGCTGTACAATCGTTTCCGCTCCTATGGGCAAACAGTGCACCATGAGGAGCTGCTGCAGACCTGCTTGAGGACGTTTGTCCCCACACTGGAGCCAAAGACCAGAACCCTTGAAACCTGCGGAACAGTGAGCCCCTTGCCATCTCCAATGGCATTGGCAGGTGCCTCGCAGCGGGTCCTGAAAGGGATGCCGCTTGTGAAAGACTCCACCAGGATGGATCGCAAGGTCTCTGTCCCTCTGAATCCTTGGCCATCGTGCATGTTAGAGCCAGCACTGGAGCGGCAGCTTTCTGAGCAGATTGTTCGCCAATTGTCAGCCCCTTCATCTGTCATCTTTCCACCAGCATCTGTTTGCGACGCCCAGCTGGCGGGCGGCGCACCCTTCCATGTGCCTCTCTCTGTGAATCCTCTTTGGGAGGAGGGCTCACAGGATGCATGGCCTGGAAGTGAGGGAGACAGCATGAAGAAAAAGCAGTTGCACAGCAAGGGCCAGGATGAGCGCCCAGGGATGGCCATGCCGCATGGGGCTGAGGAGCTGCCCAGGTCCACATCTCACTCTGGACGAAAGGTGTCTTTCAGGGAGGTTTCTCTGACACCATTTGCTGCAATCGATGAGAATCCGAAGGTGGACTGCAGTGCTGCCGATGTGCCGTCCGGAGTTCAGGGAATGAACATCACCAACAATCCCGTGTACTCAAATGGCCAGAGGGCGGTGCCACCCCAACGCCGGCCTTCTTTCTTTCAGGACCTTGCTCATGTGAAGAAGAGCCCTGAGATTGCAGCGGGCGAGGTTCCATTGAAGCTGTGCATCGACGGGCCGTTTGGAGCTGCGGCGCAGGGTTATAGGGACTACTCTGTGATGCTGTTGATTGGGGCTGGTATCGGCGTGACTCCATTTGCGTCCGTACTCAGCGAGCTGGTCCACAGAATGCGCGAGACTTCTAACTCAGGAAAGGAGGTGAGCAACCGTGCACAGGTGTTTCGTGGAGCTGCAGCAACACCACAAGGAAGCCAAGAGTGCACGATGGTTTGATCTTCTCTCCAGTGCATTTTTCCATTCTATGAATGGATATGTGCATCTGATTTTCTTTTTGTTCCTTTATCAGGAGCGCTGATTGGCACATGTGTTCCCAGGTCACAATGTGCATGCGTATGCATGCAAGGCTGATATTGGAATGCCCTCTGTCCAGGGTTCTGCAGTTCCGCGTTTCCAAAAGGTCTACTTCTACTGGAGTGTTCGGTCACAGTCCGAGGTCGTGTGGTTCAGCCGCGTGCTGGAGGCCATCAGCAATGAAGATGTGCACAAGATTTTGGACATAAATGTCCACATCACGGGCTTGCAAAAGTCTAACGATGTGCGAACCATGCCTCTCAAGGTAAGTGACGGCCTGCTTTAGCTGTCTGGAAAGCTCGTAAATTGAGGGAGTGATTGTGGACTAGAACTGTTGCTGAATGTTTATGGCTGTGGGCTGTGACATGCGGAGCACCAATTTTGCCGCTTTGAACTGTTTTGTCCTCAAGTGAGCCGAATTGAGGAAACAATATCAACGCGAAATTGCACTCGGCAAATTCAGTTTGAGCAATCACAGTCCAAGCTGATCCATTGGGTGCATTCCTACCACTGGGGGGGGACAAGCTTTCATGAAAAACTCGTGCCAGGCTGCTTCAATAGCGTGGGCAAGCGGCGTGCAGTTCCTTGAATACGTGATGTACTTCAGAATTGACGCAACATTACCTGTTCGCCTACAAGCCGACGTTTGCTCAGGAATGGGTGTTTGCGATCACCATCATTGTGCACTGTACTACCAGCCGGGAAGACTGTGAGTTGCAATTAACCAGGAACTTGGCAATGGGTAGCATCTTACGCTGTGCATGGCGCTGATCAGCCACTGTGGGCTTCCACAAATAGTTTGAGGTGTGTTGTTGTGATGTTTGTGCAGCTGGTGCAAGTGGCTGTGCACAAACAGACTGGCATGGACGTCATGTCGGGCCTGAATGGCCGAGTCCTGACACGATTTGGCCGCCCTGATTGGGCCAGAGTTTTCCGCGACCTGCAGATCCGACACAGCAAAGAAAAGAAGATCGGTGTATTCTACAGTGGCCCAAACACGCTGGCGTCGGTGCTCAAGAGACTGAGCAACAAGTACTCCACGCGTGGGAACAAGTTTAACTTTACCAAGGAATCCTTCGGGTACTGGTGAGCGTTATTTATCGATTCATTGTCAAGGTCCTTTAGGCAGTAGGTAGGAATGTAATATTGGCATTTGAGACGTCGTGGAGGGGGTGGAGTTTAACATGTCAGCACGGCACCGCCTGTCGAACCTACTGGGCTGTGCAATAACCAATGGAAACACTTATAGTCCTTCAATAGTACAGGCATCGTGATCCATTCGGAATGGGGATTTTGAACGTTCAGTGAGAGTTTAATGCGAGTGAATTGGGAACTGGTGATCATCAACAGCTGGGTCCCTGCGTCTGTGGCATTGCTGCCATATGTAAATAAGAGCGACAGCTATATGCTGCAGGCGCTTGGAGCAGTTCAGTCGAATGCAATGGTCAGTATTTTCTGAACTGTGTGGTGTAAATCGCAGTGAGCATGTTTGTGCATGGGTGGGTGAGGTGGGACTGGCCATTCAGGTAACGTGTGCAGCAGAATGGGCAGTTGGAAGCACCTTGTTCTCATGGTTCAAGGGGTGGTGCCTGCATCTCGACCGTGTTCGAAGGGAACTCGATATCCACTTTCATGTTTGATGTACACTGTTTTGTGCAAAGTTGGAGAGCTTTTTTTCGGTTTTGATTGTGTGGGGTATGGTCAAAGGGTGCGATCCATGGCTGCAGGATATCCTGTGTCATTTGCTGCGTCTCCTGCGCTGTTGTGAAACGGGGCAGCGCTGCGTGCGTGCAGTTTGAATGTCCACATGACAGAGGCTCATGCAAAATATGGGGCTCATTTCCACCAAGGTTGTGCTGGCCATGTCCATGTTGATCAATACTTCATTGTCAGATAGTGGTCGTGCCGCTCGAATCAGTGCGTGGAGTGTCTAAATGCGGCACGCAACAATCCACGTGGTTTTGTGATTCAAACAAGGGGTAACGCTTGGGCGATTTGCCGTGGTGAGCGTAAAGTTGATACTGAGCTCACTTCTCCCTTAAACGTCGATCCGTATGTCAGTGCCACACCATTGTCCGTGCCTGCAAGGGGATCCCTTGGAAAGCTTGGCGCCAGATCCTTGATGGGTCTCCCAGGTTTCTGAGGTGATGGCCCAGGTCAGAAGACGACACCTTCTTTTCTGACACGGTTCCATGGCGTTTCGAAGCCATTGCATGGGTTTGGAGGTGCGCGAATGCCAGTTTGTTCTTTTTCATGTGCTGATGCCAACCTCAGGCTGAAACTCATGGGAGCTGTTGGACAAATGGTGTCAACTTTGTGGCAACTGTGCAATCTGCCGTCATCAAATCCCTCGATCCCTCTCCAGCAAAAATTTGACACCAAGCCCGGTTGAAAACCTATGAGTACAATTGGTCAGAAACCTTGACCAATAAAGCCCGTTCACCGGGGTATAATGCCGCATTGAGATTGCTTAGAAAACGAATGCCACGAAGTCAACGGTCCAAACACCACACTCCAAAGCGCCCAGGAACATTCAACGCAATGTCCTCAAGAGTATTCGTGGAGTCGACAGAACGAATAGGCTATCCAAGCTTCGTGCAGGGCATGCCTGGCGAAGCCATTCTTTGGCGCGAACCCAATGTCGCTGGCAGCGACAAGTGGGGGCAATTACGCTCCCTAGGTACGCTGTACTGCGCCATATTTACCCACGTGCATAGAGACGCGACGTTTTGCCCTTTTGTGTCGAGCCACTGAAATGAAAAAACGGCGCTGTTTCGGATGAACGCCGAGAACAAATGGCTGAAATAAGCGACACAAAATTTCGGGCGTTCTACCCGCAAAAATGCCCTGTCAGTGGCCCCCAGGCTTGCACCCACGGCCCATCCAGGACATCAACAGTACCGGCCTTGCAAGGTGTTCAACGGCGACGCCTTGCATACCTCCACAAAGCCAGTGCATCTGTGCTGTGATAGGGTTGACGATGGCTGGGCACCGATTGCACTGCCTCGCCTGTGGACTGCACCCGGCAAAGCCCGTTGCTGGCCACTCTCTTCCAGCACGGGTGTTTTCATGAGGGCTCTGACACGAGCCAAACGGACGCCTTGATGCCCCTATGCCGTCTGACTTGTTCCCTTACCTCTGAAGCTTTCCAGACGCAATGCCGAAAGCACAGAATCGACTGTCGTTGGACGACGTGGCGGTGGGATAAAACACGTGCAATCAGGAACGCCAGATTTTCAGAACGCTGAAGGGTTCACGGCACCGCATGCTGCAAACCAGATACAAGCAGATTACGGCGGTCTGTCCTGTTAAGAAAGTTTCATCATCAACATCATCGTCCACTACATTCTGATGACTCTATTGCCCCCAGTCAGCAGCCACCTCTGCACATGAATCTCTCTCTACATGGACATCTCTTTGTTTTGCTTCTGACCTACATCGCCGAAAGGCGGCACAGGCTGTTGGCATCATGTTTATGCTGCTGGGAGCGGAGTTGGGTTTAGTGAGCGCTCTGTAATTTAGGAACTACTCATCATCATTATCATCATTTTTCCAGAACAGGCAACGAGGTAGCCGTCAGCTTTCTATTTTGCCCAAGCAAAGCAGAGTCTGTGATCAGTTCGTTGAAATCTAATGTTGAATAGAAACAAAATCTATGAGTCTATTAACTCCTGATGCTCGAAGCGATTGTCGATGGTAATACATCAAAAGAAGTGTCTTTGCCAGTGGGCGGGCAGGAACCGAAGCAAAAAGTGTTTTTGCATTGCAACATCGGAAATATAAGAATGGCTTTGACAGATGTTATCATAGGCCTGGCAGTAGAAGAGAAAATCGATTTCGTCCTCTGGAGCCAGGTGGCATAAAGGACACAATCGCCTTGAAAATTCTGGAATAGATTGTCATGCTTGGTGTCGCTGTCGCTCAACTTCCATAAACTGCACCCCACAACGAAATCGCAGGTAAATCGTCCTCAAGGAGATAGGCTGTAAATGACGACAGGAATCGTTCATATCGGTAGACTGGCTTGATGTGTCTGTACCATCGCTGAATCCTTAAAGATTGGTTGGAGAAGACACTAATAAGGTTTCACGAGGTCAATGGCCCCGGATTTGCCTCGAAGTGGGTCCACGTGTGCGTGACGCGGCGAGGGGGTCCAAAGCGCCGCTGCGCCCCCCCAACACAAGGCCGGGGGTGCAGGGCGGGAAACAGCACCCAGGGCCAGCGCATCGGGCCAGCCGCGAGCCGCGCCGACCGCCTCCGAGCTCCGCAGCCGCGGGCGCGACGAGCGGAGGCGCCCCATACCGTGCTGCGGGGACGTGGCCACGCCGACGGACGCCAATACTGGCAGCACAGGCACGGGAGGCTTCACCGGTTCCTCGCCCCGCCCAGCTGGCCGGCCAGAATTCGATCCCGCCCTCCACCCAACAGCGGGCGGCATCATCGGGGATGGACCTTTGATCTTGTCGCCGCGAGGCTTCTCCGGCTGGCGTTTACCATCCTCGCCAACCCCCGTCCATTGCCCGTCCGCCTGACCCAGCAAAAAGCACGGGGCCCTGGCCTCCCCCCCGCCTGCCCTAGGCACGGTAGGCCGCTCCCGAATCGGCCATGCTCGGGCTGGCGAGGGGGCTGGTCAGATGTGGCTCGAAGGGGCGATGTTCAGTGCCGCGCGGCGGGATGGAAAGCCTGTCGAGTTTGGCCCGGGGCGAGGCGCTGGGTGCCTGCGGCGCTGATCCCTGGTCGGAGGACTTCGAGGACAGCGTGAGGGCGACGGAGAACCTCCTGGAGGCCCTGAGGCGCGAGGTGGGCGCGGCCATGGACGGCGGCGGCCCCGCGGCCGTGGAGCGCCACCGCCGGCGCGGCAAGTGGCTGCCCAGGGAGCGCATCGCCAAGCTGCTGGACCCCGGGGCCCCGTTCCTTGAGCTGTCCCAGCTGGCGGGGAGGGAGCTGTACGGGGAGGAGGATGTGCCGTGCGGTGGGATCGTCACGGGTCTGGGGGCCGTGCACGGCCGGCCGGTGGCCGTGGTAGCCAACGATGCCACCGTCAAGGGCGGGACGTACTACCCCATCACAGTGAAGAAACACCTGCGCCTGCAGGAGGTTGCGGAGGCGTGCGGCCTGCCGTGCGTTTACTTTGTGGACTCGGGGGGCGCCAATCTGCCCCGCCAGGCGGACGTGTTTCCTGACAGGGACCATTTCGGGCGCATCTTCTACAACCAGGCGCGGATGTCGGCGGCCGGCATCCCCCAGCTGGCGGTGGTGGCGGGGTCGTGCACGGCGGGCGGGGCCTACGTGCCCGCCATGGCCGACGAGACGGTGATCATCCGCGGCAATGGGACGATATTCCTGGGCGGCCCGCCGCTGGTGCGGGCGGCCACGGGGGAGGAGGTCAGCGCGGAGGAGCTGGGGGGCGCCGAGGTGCACACCGGCACGTCCGGGGTGGCGGACCACCTGGCCGAAGACGAGGCGCATGCCGTGCAGATTGCGCGCAACATTTTGGCCAACATTGACGGGAGGAGGGAGGCGATCGCCGGCCCCCCGCCGGCCTTCGAGGAGCCGCTGTTTCCGGCCGAGCAACTGCGGGGGGTGGTGCCCAGGGACGCCAAGAGGCCGTGGGACGTGCGTGCGGTGCTGACGCGTGTGCTGGACGGGAGTAGGTTCCACGAGTTCAAGGCCAGGTACGGGAGGACGCTGGTGACGGGCTTCGGGGCCATCCACGGCCACACCGTGGGGGTGGTGGCCAACAACGGAATACTTTTCTCTGAGTCCGCGGTCAAGGGGGCGCACTTCGTGCAGCTGTGCGGCCAGAGGAACATCCCCCTGGTTTTCCTGCAGAACATCATGGGCTTCATGGTGGGGAGGAGGTACGAGGCGGGGGGCATCGCCAAGGACGGGGCCAAGATGGTGATGGCGGTGGCCAACGCCGCAGTCCCCAAGTTCACGGTTATCATCGGCGGCAGCTTCGGGGCGGGCAACTACGGCATGTGCGGCCGGGCCTACGGCCCCAACCTCCTGTTCATGTGGCCCAACGCGCGGATCAGCGTCATGGGGGGCGAGCAGGCCGCCGGGGTGCTGTCCATGGTGGAGGACGACAAGCGCAGGAGGGCAGGGGCGCCTTGGGGCCCGGAGGAGAGGGCGGCGTTCGAGCGGCGCATACGGGAGCGCTACGACCGCGAGGGTGACGCCATGTACTCGACAGCCAGGCTGTGGGACGACGGCGTCATCGATCCCGCCGACACGCGGTGGGTGCTGGGCCTGGCTCTGGCGGCCGCCGCGGGCGTGCCCAGACGCGAGAGCCGCTACGGTGTCTTCAGGATGTGATTTGAGGGCAAGGTCATCGGTGTGGGTGAAGTGCGGCTGGCTGGGGCAGTCGATGGGGCCGTTGGCTGACCGCGAGTTGGCGCCTGGAGGTGCGTGGTGCACCAGTCTGGGGACGACTTGTAATGGGAACCTGGGTAATAGGTTTTCTTGGATTCCTGGACTTTGTTTGTTTCGATCTAATGTCATCAGATTTTAATGAACTGATCATGGACACTTAGGAAGCTGACGGCTGCCGTCTTGCCTTGTTCTGCGAAAATGAGTGATGATGACGACTTGTTTACATTGACAACTCGTCCAGGTGTGGTGCTGTGCAGTGGTTGATGTGCTGCTGAAGCCTTTCAGTCACCAGCCAATGGGGCGGCAGTTATGACCGCCGGCCAGGGCTGCGAGTGGGGACATACCTGATGTGGATACGGGTGCCCCGCCAATGGCTGAGGGAAGGGCATTGGATGCATGTGGGGATTGTGTGCAGTGGCCAACATTGAAGGACAAAAGAAACAAGAAGAGGGGTGCATTGACAAGTTTGGGAAAGTGTGTGGGAGAGCACACGGAAATTCTTTGTGCCGGATATCGTGGGATCTGGCAACATGCACTGGGCCTTAACTGATTGACTTCTTACCCCATGGCCTCATCCTTCCTTATGGTTACGGACAGCGGTCTGGGTCTGGAATCGAAATAGTAGAGGAGAGTTGGTAACTGGGAGAATACTGGAGGGTCGTCCATTGTAGTGGTTACGAAACCGCTCAACATTTGTAGCGTGCTGCTGGCAACTTACCACACCTGCAACCCTTTGCATAGATTATCATGCTGACTGCCCAAGACGGACGGATATCAGCAGCAGTGAACGCGCAACGAAGACAGAAAATGTGTCAACCCACAAATGTATTGTTGCTGGTCTGTTGCTTCTGTGAGAAATCTTGCCACGGCTTTGCAGTTGTGCGCCTAACGCGATTTCTGGTGGCTACAGAAACAGCGCCTTTGTTGCAGCTCGCATAAGCGCAGTGACGCAGCTCACGTGGCAGAAGGGACCGTAGGCCATTGATCTCCATGGCGGTGCTGAGTGGCGAAATGGATTCCGCCGGACAAGAGCACATTGCTACAGTATTTTATTCAGACGTGTGTCGTTTGGCACCACCAGTTACTAATTTGATCATTTGTCTCTATGGTTATGGCGGCGATGGCTCCCAAGAGATGGTCTTTCATTCTAAAAGGACTGTATGATCTGGCTTGCTAGTGACAAGTCACAACTGGTGATCCACAAGCAGAGATCTGTTGCGGAAGCCACAACGAAGCTTCTATTGCGACGATTCTGCCGCTGGCATGACTGACACGCTACCCTCGCTTGCCGCTCGATGCAAATCACATATGCGCCACATAAAGTTAAGGCACATGCGATTTGCTTGGCACTTTCCCATGGTGGTGTCAATTTCCTGTGAATTCTCTGCAAAACTAACGCTATGTGGAAATTGGTGTTGCTAGTGACGCCTCATTCTGACCATTTTTTGACTGGGAGGGTCACCAATGATTAAGGCGCTCGATTGGTCCCTATGGGAAACGTGCTGCAATTGCGGGATGGCTTCGATATGCCACAATGCCACAGAAGTTGCAAAGGTAAACAGCAAGAGCTCTGACAACGAGTGGCCTTGAAAGACGTCTACAAATTATTGTATATCCTGGATACGCATATCTAGGATACGGCCATGTCTTGGATGTGTACATATAGGATATGGGAATATCCAGGATACAGAGCCCCATATTCTGGATATGGCCATATACCACCATCTTATCCATGAAATGGAGGATCCACACCCTGGACATGGAGCGAACATATCCGGCGTATCGTGCCCGTAGCCTATTCGATATCCAGGGTAGGGGAATGTTTGCCGACGGACCTTGGGCCTACGACCTTAGCCCTAGGGTTGCAAAGACTGAAAGGCAGAAAAACAGGGAGTCAAGATGAGCTCAAGAAGCTATCCTTTGTGATCTCTGTGCACAATCTTAACTTGTCACTTACCCAGAGCAAAATCGTTGTCTAAAGGTTGCTGTGAGAAAGCTCTTCCAAGAAGACCGTGTTTCCTTGACCAAGGATGTGGGGGATGGTAGAACTGGCAAGCGTCCAGCAGCATCTGAGTCTGCAAGGCCCGGCAGGCTGCTTTTCCACGAAACAATGGCGTATGTCGAAAATCACATGCGAATATCGACATTTCTGCAATATATGTCGCCATGCTTGCAATCCTCCGCCAAATTGTACAAAAAAGCACAACAGGCAAGGAACGCTGTGTCCTACCACTCTATGTGCACCATAAGAAAGGGATTCTCTATCTGATGTCTGCACCTCTGCACACCAAGTAGCCCCTTTGTATGTGCGTTTCCATACCTACACTCTGACCATTGGCAGCTGAATCAGCTGCGAAGGAGAGGGCGATGTCCCTCGGGATTGAATTGGAGTAGGGAACTCAGGTAGGCATAAGCAAGCGCTGATGGAGATAGATGGCACTGTGAATGAACTGTAGTTACTGATCTAGGCACTGCCTATGCCGAATGCATGGAAAGGAATGGACTGAGAACAATTCCTGAGAACCCTGCTGGCCTGCAACACAGCCGCAGTCCAAAAGGTCGATTGGCAACATCCAACTCGCTGCGCTAAATTGTGAATCGACGATTCGCAAGGTGGCGGAGGGACAGAGTTGTTGGGTTTGGTTAAAGATGCGGAGTCCGCATCTTCGGCTGCATTGCGGAACATTGCGACGTCATGCAAAATAAGTGAAGCATTGCAGCTTTGAAATGCATCTCCCCATGTGCGTAGTTCAAATAGCAATGGCGGTCTTATGGGGATGTGTTCGTGGAACGGTGGTGCTCACGAATGTTGGAAGATATCACTGTACGACGACAGTTCTTCGAGCTGATCGACGATCAACGTCCCCTCCAGCGCGCTTGGATTTGTCCCAAGTTCACGAGTTCGGACAAGAAAAACGTACGTGGTTTGTAGCGATGCGTATCGCCATATTTTGTGCCGAAGATTGCCACATGGTTTCTGGCAGTTGGCCCCTTGGCAGTGTAGGATGCGCTGGTCCAGAAGCAGCGCGTGACACTGGCCAGGGGATCACCGCAATCAAGGGATATTTTCAAGGAGAGGCGTGGCCTGGTTTCAAATGAGTAGCCCTTGCAATTGCCCGCGAGGTCAGTGTGCGGCCTCCCTACTTTTAAAGGAGTCCCACAGCCGCCCGTTGTCTTGTTTGGTTCCCTCCTGCGATCCTGTATGCCCACAATTTTCAGTTAGGGTGAGTTCGCATTCCGGGAGAAGGGAAGCAAAAAGCACCGGGGTTTGCAATGTGCGTTGGCCAAAAGGGAACGCATGGTAATGGCCCTGTGTTGCAAAGGGGAAGACCCCATGGTTTGGAAGCGTGATTTGGCTTCCCATCGTGCGAGTTGTGTGAAGGAGAGCTATCCCGTCAAACAGAAGCCTCGATCTCCATCCTGAACACAACTTGTTTCAATTTCGCAGGGCCAGTCTCCGCTTCCTACCCACGTGGCCAACAGCCGGTTGTGCGGCACGATTGTGGAGGGTACATCCGCCGCGCCGTGGAAGCGCCCTTCCTGACGTTTTCCGCTCGTCTGATGGGTTTTCTGGGGCCGACCTTGCCGTGCCCGTTGCCCTTTGGGCCTTCCCCTGACCCCATCCAATACACTGACGCACTGCTGCCCCAGAACACTGCCTGTGCGGAGCCGCAGGATCCCCAGCGGTGTGCCGTGCCGTGCTCCCCGGACCACCTGCCGCGCAGGTCCAACATTTCCCCCTTGCTGGCGTATCGGATCCCGCAGATCCGTCCCTCTGCCTCGGACAAAAGTCGCGTCGGCGACCTGCGCCAGGTTCTTCATGCCAAACGCAACTCGGCAGGCCAAATCGCCTACCAGTACTTTGCGCCATCCTCACATACAGGCCGGAAGTACTGCGCCCGCTCCCCCCAGGGCGAAATTTCAGGCCCCTCCGAGAAATGGCTTCATAGCACGGGGAGCCCCTCAGCACCGGCCCGCTCGAGGCGCTCGGGTGGTGGCGGTGCAGGGTGGCAAAATCGAAGCCCGGCCGCTCGCCGCCGGGACTATCAACTCTTTCCCTTCTCCAGGCGCGGGAGCGGCCTTGCGGTCTTGAAAAGGGGCGGCCCGACCTCCGCTCCGACGGAGGTCCCGGCCTGCGGGCGAGATGGCGGACGACGGTAAGGCCGGGCGGAATTCGTTTCATTGCCGCCGCCGATGGCTACCGCGGGGTTATCGAAAAGCAGCCTGCGATTCATGGCGCTGGAGGGGCGCCACGCGGGGAGCTGGGGCCTTGAGACAGTTGACCGGGCGCCCGGCGCCTTTCTCGCGCCCGACAGGCCTCCCGCCTGGTTTCGGGACTGGTGGCGGAGGCGCATCGCGGGAGCGGGGCGTGGGGGGGCGTGGGGGCTTGGGGAGTTGGTTCGGGGACTGCGGGACGGTTGTGCCGCGGCGGGAGGCGGTGGATTGGGTCGGGGGGCCGACGCGGCTGGGCGCCATGGCCCGCGTGCGTGCCGTGGGCGCCTGCGGCAAGCCTGGGAAGAGATCCGCGGTCGTGGGGCTGGAGGGCCTGGTCGCTTTGGCTGATTCGGAACGGGGGGAGATCCGTGTTGAGGGAGCGCGGGCTGGGGCGCTGAGGGTGGCTAGGGACCTTGTGCCATGTTTGCGCGATTTGTGGGGCCGTTTCCTTGCCCGTGCGCGCCCCGAGAGCGCCGCCTGGGACAGCTCGACTCACCAGAGGCGGAGGCATCCTGCGGACACTGGGGATTGTGGGGCTGGTGAATTGATGGGTCGGAATGGACGCCTGAACTGGCAATCGCTGGCCGATATGGTGGCCCGATGTGATGCGGGCGCGAGACCGCGGCGCGGCTGCCCGGCCTGCTGCGCCGCCGCTCCTGGCCCGTGGGGACGGGCGCTTGCTTTTCTTGGAGCTGCCGCTGACGTTGGGGTGCTGGCGATGGTCAGGGCGGTTCAGGGAGCGCGGTTTGGCGGGGGGAAAGGGTCACAAGAATCCAGTCAAGGGACTGTTCAAAGGTAAGGCGACGGGACCTGGAGCGCACTGCTGTGGATGCCCTTGTCGCCCATCATGCGGGCCCACAAACTCCCAAACGTTGCTGCGCATTTGCCGATGGTCGCAGCCAGTTGCCCGTGGCACTCAACAAATGTGTTTGAAATGTGTTGGAAAGTATTTGAAATTCACCTTCCATTCGGCAAGTGCCAATTTTCTGTTGGGCTTTGTGCATGCTGTGGAGCAGGCTCCCAGCACATCACAGTGGGCATGCCAGGAGTGATTTCTTGACGCCGTGCCCGGGACAGTGAGGCAGTGCTATGTCATTCTCCACCTGTGTTTGCAACCAGGAAGAAAACTGCAAACAGATCTCACTGTCCAGCAGTGGCCAAGTCCCATCTGGAGAACCAGCCAGCAAATTAATGGGCATGCAGTGACGACGGTGAACTGCTCTTGCTGTTGTCATGGATTGGAGAGGCCATTGACGTGTGTCAAAGCCCCTGGCAGAAGATGCGTTGCCTCCTTCTCTGGATGTAACCCTTTAGGAGTAGAATGCACATGAATCTTTGCAGGAGGCGCCTGAGCCCCATGTTTATGTTATCTTTGTGGCAGGTGGCAAGAAACTGATAACAGGAAGGAAGAGCCACAATGAGTCCAAGGGCCGGGCACAGACTCCAGTGGAGCGGCACATGAAGGACACGTTGCTGGGGATGGGGTCATCAAGTGACAAGTTTGCCCGGCATGGTGGTCCAGGAATGGGGTACTATGGGGCGCATGTCCCCTTTGAGGTGCAGGAACAACTAAGGAAGGAGGAGCAAGCGAAACAGCAATCTATGCGGGACCAACAACGTGTGAGCTCATCTTCACCGTCGCCCTCTCAAAAGCCCAGGTTTATCAGACTGAAAAACGGCAACATGATCAAGATGCCGAACAGCTTCTCTGGAGGGCACCACTCAGATGATGACAGCATGGTAGAAGCGATGGAGGTACACAGTGTTCCATTCTGTTGACTGCCTGGTGCAACTGTTGCTTTGGCCACCACTCCCATTGATTACAGCAGTGTCGCTGGCTTTGGCATTCATGTTTTTGCTTGTGTGTTGTTTTTACCAGTTTGATATCTTAAGCTGCAGCAGCACCCACAGCGAATTTGCAACATTGGATGGTTGCATTGCTAATGGTGCACTGATCCTCTTTGTTGCTCCAACAAAGGCATCAAGAGCCACACTGTCCAGTGACAACCTCTTGCGTGAGGCACTCAGCCTGCGATTGGACCTTGAGCAGGAGCTCGAGAGCAACTTGGCAACTAAGGTTTGTTGGCCTTCCTGTGATTGCATTTTGCCCTGCTTGCATAGGCCCTCAGGCACACCTTCATCCAATTGATTAGGGGATTCTGCCCTCAACCTTTGCATACTCAGTCTTTGTTGACTCAATAATAATGATCTTTTCAGGCAGCTGCTATTATGTATGCTAAGAGCCCATAGTTTTGTCTAGAGATGGTTTGTCATTCGAGTGAGTATCATTGTATGGCAGAAGTGCTCTAGCCCAGTGGAATTGCTTCAGGTGATGGTGGGTACTTCTGTGCGTTTTGATTGTCATTCTGTGTGGCCTACAGGAGAAGTTGGTGCGGAGCCGAAGGCGCATGGACCAGGAGATGCAGAGCCTTGGGCAGTCAGAAATGTTTGAAAAGAGTGTCTTGGAATATTCGACAAGACATAGACAGCTGGAGAGACAACTGAAGGAGGTGAGCTGCTCTTGGCTTGTGTTGTGTGTGTCCTGCACTTGGCGATTGCCCATTGCCCATGTATTCTGGTGTAGGAATGATCATGCCTGCACCGAGCTTGGTTTCCTGCCTTGCTTGATGGAGATTGGTGGTGCACAGGCGGAGGTGAGCATCAAACCGCTGCAGACAGCAATCTCCGATCTTCGCCAGGTGGAAAAGTTCATAAGAGATCAACACCTTGGGAATGAGGAAGCAGCCATCGTCTTTCAAGACATCATGAAGAAGATGTTTGAGGATCTTAACCTCACCGAAACACCACCCAATGGAATCAAATCTGCCAACTCTCTACCAAAGAATGTCATGGCGGAGTTGAAGGTGCGTTGCTGATTCGCTTCTGCTGGCATCCCAGCATCCCCTCTGAATCCAGCATGGATGTGCAGTTGCAGGGCAGCTTCCATGTCATCAGGCATTTATGGAAGTACTGTGCGAGCAGGTTCTATGGCTGCAAGACAGGTGCAGTAAGATTCTCGCTGTGCTGACATATACATATATATATATATATATATATATATATATATATATATATATATATATATATATATATATATATACTGGCAGTATATATATGTCGGTTTGATGCTTCTGTAATGTGGCCAGCCTGTGAGTGATTTCAATGTTTTGACATCCGGAATGGCAAGATACTAAGAGAATCACAACTTCCTCCTATGCCAGGAACGTTTGGAGTCAGGGAGTTTTGGGCGCCAGCCCTCTCTATCAAGCAGCAGCAGCAGCGATACACAGGCCTGGGTTGCGTTTGGGGATGAACAGCAGAGCTCGGCTTCGGCACCCAGGGGCCCGGCAATCCAACGGCCAAGGATTGGTTCTGGACCCAATGTGCAGGGTGCCTGGGACAAACTGAACCAATTGAAGACCATCTCTTGCAAGGGTACCATAACCAGTCGACGACCGCAGGGGGCCCAGGGCCTCGAGTTTCCAAACCTGGCAGCCTCTGGTGCCTTCAAAGACCCACAGCTGCCTGGGTACCATCCCTCCACAACTGCCTCTTCATCAAGCGGAAGGTCGTCAAGGGCAGAGGGCACCGGCAGCATCATGGCTGTTGATGACATGAGGCAGTGGGAGAACGATCCGATGGTTGTGCAGAGCAGAGGCACTGGGATGCGGACGCCCACGCCTGGACCTGGCCTTTTCTCCAGCGCAAGTGTGTCGTCCCTGTCATCTATGGACAATGCGGGGCCTTCAGCTAGTTCATCGTTTGATGGCAGCCGCAGGGGATCCCAGGGGCTGCCACAGTCTGTCAAACCAGCAGGCTCATGGATGCAGTTTGGAGACGATGACGACGTGAAGGGCAATGGTCTGTTCACAGGCTCATCACAGGGGGCCACACCCAGCACTGCATCACAGCCCAGAGCAATGCAGAAGCCAGGCACTGCGATGCCAAGCCCTGCCACAGCTCAGGGCGTGGCAGGGCCTGTAAAACCTGGCTCAGATGGGCTCAGCAATGTGGCAACTTTCGAAGTCGACTTCCCTCCTGTGCCAACTGCATCAGGCAGACAGGGTGCTGGCGCAAGTGCAGCAGCTGCTGCAGGTTTTGAAGCTGAATGGGATGCGTTCAGCGAGTTGGCTGGCTCTCCAGTCAGGGGCCGATCAACAGGTTCAAGGGGGCAGTCGATGGGTGGAATGTCGGACTACTCGCAGACTGGTGGTGATGCCGAGCCTGTTGCACCAACTGGTACTGTCAGCGGTGTTGTGGACAGTGCTGTGAAAGGACCAGATTCAGGAAGTTCTGCCTCGAAGGAGCCAGCAGTGGGGGATGCTGTTGAGCAAGCACAGCTAGCAGATGCAACTGTGGCCCAAGGAGAGCAAATCTTGCCAAAGTCCAATCAACTTCGGATTGAGGGAACTGAAATGCAGGTTGAGGAGGGCGCAGATGAGGAGCAGGAGGAATCGACCAGCAGCATGGCCAGTGCGCTGAAGCTGGTGAAACTGAAGAAGAATGCGGCAGGCGCTGAAAGCCTGTCTGGAGGAGATGAGATGCAGCCAGCGTTTGACATCGGGAACATGGATATTGACACCATTGTGTCGGCCATGGGTGGGGGCGATGCAAAGCAAGGTGGGCACAGTTGATAACACCAAGTTGACTCAGATGCACTTTGAATTTGCTTAGACTGCAGCTTGAAGGACGAAGTATTGCACCTGGAAGGTGGCACCAGCCTTGGGGGAATGTGTTGATGTGCAATTCAGTCCAGCTCCCTAACGTCATATTATGGGTTCTGTATTTTTCCAGAGGTGAAACCAGCATCGGCGGATGCATCGCAACCAGAGAAGGCACCACCCCCGCCTCCACCACCGAAGAAGAAGCCACCCCCACCTCCACCGCCTCCACCAGGGAAAGGCGGCAAGGGTAAGCGTGCAGTCAGCTGCATTGTTACCTGGGTGCCCTCATGTTCAGCTGGCTTGCCTTCTTGATGGTGATTGTCTTGTGTCCACTCCTCTGGTGTAGTGAACCCTCTGGTATAGTGTCCTTGCCAATGTGTGCATGCGGAGTGCTTTGATCCAGCTTCACTGACAGCGCTGGCAGGCACGGCACTGCCCTTGCTGAAAGCCTTTGTAGCAAGTTGCCTTTGAGAGAGGAAGCGGGGCCCTTGCACCTTGCATGTGGTTATGGGCACTTACCATCCAAGTGCCTTGGTCTGTCGTCTGTACATTTATTGCTGTCGTTGCTGTTCTGGGACTCCAATGGCTGTTGATGTTGTGCATGGTGCTCATCTCGTGGTTGCTGCCGCTCAGCAGGTGCACCTCCCCCCCCGCCACCTCCCCCTGGCAAGAAGGGTGGTAAGGCTCCAGTGCCCCCACCACCTCCTGGTGGCAGGCGTGCCAAAGGAGACAGTGATGTAAAGAGGCAGCCACAGGTAAACTAGATGCCCACAATCCGCTGCAACTGCCCATTGGCAGGTGCACACCATTGCTCCTTTTCTTGGCAACCCGTTGTTCATGGCATGTGAATGTTTCAAACCTGCTCGTAAAGGGCCTAAGGGGTTCACAAGAGAGTGTGTTTTGTTCTTGCTGTTCGTGCAACTCTGTGTTGCATACTGTTTTTGTTGCACTCAACAATTTGTGCATCATGGACTGCAACGTGAGTAGATTCTTGCAGTGCTTCTCAGGGGGGTGGTGCCCATTCCGCAGCATGTTTCTTTCTGTTGAGCAACAAATTTGGGTGTAGAAGTTAAATCAAGTCCATGTTGATGTTCAATCTAGTCCAGCTTGTGGTAGTTCGACCCTGCAAACAAGAAAAAGACAAGCAAACCCTAAGCTCTTAACCTTAAAACACCCTAAAACCTAGTCCATGTTGATGTTCAATCTAGTCCAGCTTGTGGTAGTTCGACCCTGCAAACAAGAAAAAGACAAGCAAACCCTAAGCTCTTAACCTTAAAACACCCTAAAACCTACAAGGCAAACACAAGAGGCTCAGAAGATGTTCGTGATCTTTGTGTTCTGAAATGAAGCGTATTGGACATTCGTGCTCCATATGGACTGGTTGAAACTCAATTTGGACGAGGTTGAGGCTCAATTTGGACTGGGTTGTCGCTCTGCTGAGCGTGGACTAGGCTGAACATTAACTTCGACGAGGTCAGACCTATTTTCCCAGCAAACTCTGACCATTTGTGTTGCATATGCAGGTGATTGAGATGTTCCAGGAGGTGCGGCGGGCTCTACTGTCGAATGCCCAGAGGGCAGGCGGACCACTGAAGAAGCTTGGAGGCGGTGGCACAGTGGACCCGGCACAGATGTTTGCTGAGATCGCATCGAAGGGCACATACCAGGCCCAGGTCCAGGCAGACATCGTCAAGTATGCCGACGTCATCGAGGAGCTGATCAGCGAGGTTAGGAAGTTCAAGGCAAGGGACATGGAGCACCTCGCCGAGTTCGTCACCGGTGTGGACAAGGTGCTCGACGAGCTGTCGGATGAGACAGCTGTCCTGCGCAAGTTCGACTGGCCAGCCTCAAGGTTCGACACGTTCCGGGAGACAGTTGCGCTGGACAAGGAACTGACGGAGAAGAAGAATAAGTTCAAACAATGGCAGAGGGGGAAGGGCAAACGAGCTGACAACCTCAAAGAGATTCAGAAATACATGGTGAGTGGCTTTCTGTGTCCCGCAAGGGCATGTTGAGGTAACGTCAAGGGTGCATCTGATGCAGTGTTTGTCGCATAAGCCCAGCGATGCTATAAATTCTTGCCAACTAGCAGCATTTGTGGATGTAGCTGTTAGCATTCCTACTGCGTTCATGTGTGTGCAGATGGAGGGTCGTGTTCACTGTTGGAAATCTGCAGCCTGGTGGTATCCTGAGTGTAAATGACAAAATGCCTGTTGTTCTGCTGCGTTTCGCAGGAGAAAGTGCAAGACAGGATGGACATTCTGAACAGGACCAAGGAGGCTGATGAGGCAAGGTTCAAGAGCCATGATGTCCCGTGGAATAAGAAACTGATGACGGAAGTGAAGCATGCCTCTTTGCATGCGATGGATTTATATATGCAAATTGCGCTCGATGAGGCAAACGAGACCATGGAATCGTCCCTTGCGGACAAGAAGAAGAGGGACAAGGCTCTGGCCGTCCTGACAGGTACAGACGTGCTCCTCTCACCTACGATAGAGACTGCTCTAAGAGCAAGTTTGCAAGACAAGCTGTCCGCATGATATCTTGCTGCTGACCCAGTACTTCCTCGCTTTGGCTGTCTGTATTGTATTCGGTTGGCCGCATGGCCTGCAATGCCCACTGAGAGCTGTTGAAACCTCGTCTCGCTTGATGTGAGAGACCCCAAAATGCTGTAGAATGGAAATTGGGAACCACAACAATGGCTTTGCCGCGATTGCCAGCGGGAGTGACCGGCCTGAAATGTGTATGCTTGCGTCTCTTTGCAGCGACGATCAAGTTCGCATTCAAGGTGCATCAATGCGTCGGAGGCTTCACCGAGAGCTGCTCGGCGAAGTTCGGAGAGGTCAGTTCCATGACAAGGCAATTGACCGCTGAGAAGAAGGCAGAGGAGGAGGCCTGACGATGACAGCCTGACAGAGTTGTAGTGCTCGCAGACAGCCAACTGTATTTTTAGGTCCCCCATTGGTGGCTCAGATTAGAAGCTGTTCAGAGCCTGCGTCCGTTCCTTATTGGTCTTTGGCTGATTCCTGTGCTGGTGGCGTTCGGCTGGCCAGGTTGGGAGCTGTCGCAACGTGCACTTTGGTTCCCTGTTGGATTGAGGGAGCGCTCTTGAGGGACCACAGTGCGAACGCTCGCCTGTGCCCGGCCACCAATCATTGTGATACTAAATACCCTTCGCAGTGTAAACAGTGGTGCTTGAAGTTTGTTCGCTTCAAGTTGTGCATGAAGGCGTTGTCCTCGTCATCCTTGCTGCCCACAATTGATCTATTCGCTAAGCAGAACGACAAAAGACGATCAGGCTAGTGGGCAGAAGAACAACCCAGGGAGAAAGGAACCGAGGGAAGAACACAGGCAACTATTTTTGACAACATGTTATGAACAAATCCACTGCACTGGTGTTGTGCCACCAAAACATAGGTGCGCTCTATTTTTGACAACATGTTGGGGGAACAAATCCACTGTACTGGTGTTGTGCCACCAAAACATAGGTGCGCTGTACGTTGCCATTTGGATAGCGAATATTGCTGCAGCAGACAATGAACTTTAGATTGCCGTAGAGGCAGATATAGTAAAGGGGAAAAGTTGTGGCAGGTATGCTACGAAAAAGGGCAACTATGCTGTGCAAATTTGTGCCTCAAAGTGTTGAGCACAGGTTGTATAGAGGCATGGGTAAAATAGCAGTGTTGCAATTTGTCATGACGTCCATGGACTGAACAACGCCCTGAATGGTTGTCTGCTTAAAGAACGAGGTGTGCAAGTAAAGTAAGTCTGCTCGATAGACAATCAGTGATAGTGGACAAGGTGTCCCTGGAAAAGCTCAAAACACCCAATCCAATAGTTGGTGCTGACAACAAGGATGTGGTCAGACTGTACGTGGCCTGAATAAAGCTGCACCAATGCCGCATCACGCCCGCTGCTTTCGTGGATGTTGAGGGGTAGTGGATGGGGTATTTGCAATAGGGCGAAGTACAAAATTTGACCTTGATGCAGCAATTAGTTAATTATGTTTGGCCATTGCCGCTATTTGGTCCAAAGGAGCAAACAGCCCACAGTCCATTCCTGCACCCGCCCAAGTTCCTCCCCAGCCGAACACAACATTCCTGCAGCAGTCCCATAGCAGGGCAAGCTGCCTCACCATGATTGTTTAAGGAGTCGTGATCAAGGCCATCCATGGCATCTGAAAACGGTCGTTCGGAGGAACCGCGCCATCCGTCTGAACTAGAGCGACGGAATGTCGACGACATTGTTTCCAAACTCTTCATATCTACAGATTCTCTTGTACCACCTGCTGTAGCTAGTATAATGTCACCAAGTGGAAATCTTGAACAATTGCACATGACTGGACCACACTGCTGGGACTCGGGCCTTTTGTGCAAAGGAACTATACCAAGGGCAGTGATCTCCCTCTGCGGCGTTGTGCAACGTGAAAACAAAGGCACTGAAGTTCTCTGGCATTTTCATGCAGCTTCCCGCAGTCATGGCAGGTCAAGATCGGACCAGGTGCAGGATGGGATCTCGTTAGGTAGCAAGTGGTTGCGTAACTATACTGCAACTTTCCATAGCCACAGCATGGATGCAAGCCTGGACAACCCCCAAAATTCACAAGTTCAACAACGCCACTCCGCCGCTCACGTTCTCACCAGATTGGCGACTCTGCGGTCCTCTCGCTGTACCGCGAAAGCCCCAACGACCGCCATGGTTGCGTGCAGCTCGTCTAACACCCTGGTGCTGGCCAAACAAAGAATTCACGTGGTCATGGCAAATGGCGTCCCAACAGCCACCGCACTGCCGGCCCGGGACCGCCACTCGCACCTTGACGCCTTGAGGCACCGCTCACTTGCGGATCCGATTCGGTTCACGCCTGGAGCCCGCGTGGCTGGCCGGTTGGAAGCGCCTGCGGCGGGGTCTGTTGCCTGAGCGCAAGTGCCCACTGTGCAGAGGCTGCACTGGCGACCGCAATGGAGCCTCTGTTATGGAGGTCACACATGTGCACACCCCACCATCGCAACCGAAGTTCGGTTATGATGATCAACGCAGTTATTGTGCCACGGATTAGGTTTCGGTTACCGTAGCGTAATCCGTGGTGCTCTTGGTGTGTTCACCAGCGTTCCCTGCTGTCAAGAGCCTCAACCTTCCCCTGGGCCTCACCCCAGGGCATCCAGAGGTCGTGTTGCCTGGGCGCGGGGCTCCCAGCCGCGCCCACACCGGCCGCTCGCAGCTATGGCCGTTGGGAAGAACAAACGGATAACGAAAGGAAAGAAGGGAGGCAAGAAGAAAATGTGAGCGTCCCTCGGCCGTCCACCATCCCATCCGCCGATCATCCCCAGCAACCATTCGCCGCCGGTTGCCTGATTTGCCGCATTGCCGCGCGCAGTGTCGACCCGTTCACCAAGAAGGACTGGTATGACGTCAAGGCGCCGTCCGTCTTCAAAGTGAGGAACGTGGGCAAGACGCTCGTGACGAGGACGCAAGGCACAAAGGTGAGGGCGCTCATGGAGGGGTGGGTGGGCGGGGGAAAAGGGAGGGGACGTCCGCAGGAGTGCGTCCGGCGATACCGGCGCGGATTGGAAGACCAATCGCGACGGCGGGATGCCACCAGGCTTCGATTCTGATTACCACCATGACCGGGTGCTGCCGAACCTCACCCCAAAATGCGGTGCGCCCTGGCGCCCTCTGGCGACGCTGGTGCTCGTGGATCGCATCCCACCTGCTCGCTTAGGAAAGCGGGGGACTGATCTGGCGCAGGCAGGGCCGTGTTGGGCCCTTCGGTGTGTGGCATCGCACAATTTTGTCTGTCGGAACTGATTTGGATGTGGCCTGACGCACGTCTCTTGTGGCGTCCGCAGATTGCGTCCGAGGGACTGAAAGGCCGCGTGTTTGAGGTATCGTTGGCTGACCTTCAGGAGGTGGGTTGAATCGCTTGGGACAGACCGAATGCTTCGCCTCAGCGCCATGCGCTCGCCCCTGCTGGTGTAACAGGTTTGACTGTGGGCACAGTGGGGGCCCATCGATGCTGTCGCACCAGACACAGGAGCCAGTGGCTCGTTCACGGTCTGGAGAAATATGTGAAGAATGTTTCGGGCGTTGAATTTTGGGCAACCTGGGGCATGGATAGTACTGCATTTTCCCAGCGCAGTGCATTCTGCCGGCGAATTTTGGGCCACTTGAGTTTCACGTCGTCTTCGCGCATTGCAGAATGAAGACAACTCCTACCGGAAGTTCAGACTCCGTGTGGAAGACGTCCAGGGGAAGAATTGCCTTACCAACTTCTGGGTGAGCCCCTGGCCTTGCCATGACGCTACTGTCCCTGACAGCTCTGTGCATCATCAACGGAGCAAGCAAGGGAGCTGGACGACCATCGGATCTGATTGATGAATTGTAGAGGGATTATTGACTGCTACTGGGCCACAGCTAAAGAAGCTTCGGCTGCACGCACACATGCAAGTGGTGCTATCAACAATGCACACAGGCAGAATGTATGTGAGTGATCACCTCAAGCTCAAACGAGGACCTCTTGACTTGAGGCTTGCAAGCGTGTCCCCTGGAACTGCATTGTTACTGGGAATGCAGCAAGCATATGTGATCTATCCCAGCAACACTCAGCATTAATTGAAAGCCTGCAAATTGCAGATCTCCAGTCACCATCAGCTGGTCACCAACCAAGGCTAAGCTCTGGGTTCCAAAATTGCTGCCCTGGTAGAGGATGCCAGAAATATAGACATGATCCTGGCCCATTCACCTGCAACAAGATGCATGGGACATTGTCATGTTAGATGACACCCTTGTTGCCTGGAATGTTGTGGATGGTTTCCTGCTGTCTGGTCTAAGAAAGGCCTTGTTCCAGTTAGTGAGCTTATAACCTTGACCATGGCGATGAGCACGCCATTCCACATGTCCACAGTTGCTGGTAACATGTAGTTTGCATTTGGCAACATTTGCCTGTGTTCACAAATCACAGCCAGCCACGGCAGCCAAGGCAGTGAAAAGCAACATGTCCTATCACACTGCTGTGTCCAATTTGCTTATACAAACCCTTGTGTGCAAAAGACTCAACCAGTGGGTGCTGATACGATTGTCCTGTGGAAGGGGATGAACTTCACAACAGACAAGCTGAGGTCCCTCGTCCGGAAATGGCAGTCTCTTATCGAGGCAGTGGTGGAGGTGAAAACAACCGATGGCTACACTCTCCGGGTGTTCTGCATCGGCTTCACCAAGAAGCACAGGCATCAAGTGAAGAAGACTTGCTATGCCCAGTCCTCCCAGGTCCGACAAATACGCAAGAAGATGGTCGAAATTATCACGAGAGACGCCTCTTCTTGCGACCTGAAGACCCTTGTGACGCACTTTATCCCAGAAGCGTTTGGGACGACGATCGAGAAGGAATGCAAGGGCACCTACCCTCTTCAGAACGTCTTCATCCGGAAGGCGAAGATTGTCAAAGCCCCAAAGTTCGACCTCACAAAGCTAATGGAGGTGCATGGGGACTACGGTGAAGAGGCTGGCACAGCTGTTCCTCGATTGGAGGGTGAGGAAGAGGCCACCGAGACCCCAGGTGGTGATTGGGGTGACAGCTAGATGCCATTCTTCAAGCGCCATGGTTTGTAGTATCAGGACACAAGGAGAGACAGTTGGATTTCGGTTGACAGATAGTTAAGGGGTGCCTTGGTATCTGCCTACCATCTCCCTGACAGATGCTCCCACTGTTGAATTGTACACAATGCCTCATCCACCTGGATCTGGCACATCTTCCGCTGGAGGAACATATTCTGGAGTGTGCCCATCGGTTTCTGCAGTGCTTGCCTTGCAAAAGGTTTCCTGGACGCAGCCCGGATGTCTGCTGGTGCATTGTGTACCCAGCAGCCATTCACGGAAATAATGAATGCCGTTTGGCAGGCACCTGTACCCATCACAAGCGCCAATTCGCCAGTGCTTACACTCAGGTAGCTGGGTTCAAATCCGATGCTTGATGACAGCATTGTGGTGAGTTGAACATCTTGTGGTGCCTCTTATTTTTGGGACCTTGGGCACATGTGCTTCTAAAGGAGGTCAGAGTGTGCTATAGCTTTGACGCCCCAACTGGTGCCTGTAGCAATTCCTGCGTCACTGTCAGTACTCATGTCACAGCTGGTTGATGGCTTGTAGTGACATGACATTGCCTAATGATACGCAATAGGAAACAGCGTGCTTGAGACCGCGATGCATTGTAAACAGTATCCGCAAAGCAGTGTAGATGCACAGTCTCTGCCTTGTCGGTCTCCTTGGCCCACCCACATGTTCGCACTTGGTAAAGACACTACTGCCAGCTCAATTGGTATCCCACACTACCGCTCCTGAGGTCCCCGCGAATAATTGTGCTCAGTCTCGCTTCGCTAGGTGTTAAGCCAGCTCAAGACTGTCATTCATCATAAGTCAGCTCCTATATCCTGTACTTAACTCCCCCTCCATCACACCTACAAGACCGAATATCACTGTCTAGGACAGAACAGAGCACAACAAGCAATCAGCTCAGAAGGCATGGTGTTCAGCTCACACATTTAGGGAATGTGGACAGAACACGTTGCCTACAGAGTTGAAGGAACGCAGCACCTCCAAAAGCCCTCCAACTGGCACCAAACTACCAGTGCAAAACCTTGCCCGCCTTGGGACTTTTATGGACCCAAAGTACAGTTGCATAGAAACTCCGGGAGGGGGAAAGGGGAGGGGGCGGTAGAAGGCCATTAGAAAGGAGAGACGATTCAAACTGCATCGGCGTCCCATCCCGCGACCATTTTGGCGGAGGACTATTGGCAAGATAGTTAGTTTCACAAATGGCGGTACCCTTGGCATGTGCACGGCTCACTGCCTTCTGCGAGGGTATGCTGTGTGTTGTAGCTAAGAGCCCCAGCAGATGATTCCGCAAAGTCCCAGCCACCTCAGCATTTAAAAGGAGGGGACCGCCTCCCATACGTGTAGGAGGCGTGCTCTCTGTTGGACCACATGTGGCATCGTGTCTGCTGGTAAAAAAATGGCGTCACATATTGCTGGGCATCCATCAGATTGTCGGTCCCCACAGGGAACAAAAATGCGGCAATGCTGACCATGAGCTGGCACATTCTGTTGTTGCCCTTACTGTGGATGTGTTTTTGACTGGTGTTTCCTCAATATGCACTGCAAAAGTAGCCACCTGTGTATAATGTTCTGCAATTGGACCTGCAAATCCAATTTGCATATTATTTCTGTAGTGTGTACTTAAGAGCTGGATTATTTTGATTTGCAGCTCTCAGGGCACGACAGCAGAGCAAGATATTACATTTCTTTGTGCAAAATTCAGTGACCTCCCTCAAGCGCCCAGCCCTTGCAGTGGCCCCAAAATGCCTCCTTGACAGCACCGTTGCCTGCCATCATGGCAGTGATGTACAGCACAAAAGCGGTTACGGTGTGGCAACTCGAACACTCATTCATCAAGCAAAACAGCCAGAAATTGTCACCATGCGCGCGTCTGGCGCAAGTACACTGGAATGTCCTGGAACCACAACCCAACTTTGTCCTGGATGCAGATCGCCAAACGCTCGCAGCCCTGTGTGATATTTGAGCGTTCTACCAGAAAAATCAGGAGAATACCGCCACCTGCAGACATGGTTTTACTCATCTGGTCGCATTTCTGCCTGCAGCGGATTTCGTTCCCCTGCAAGGGGGCTTGAGGGCGCCTTTGACATTACAGTGCCAACCACCGATCGCACCACGGCTGGCACCTGCGTACACAGCACACAGCGTTCGCCGCATTAATGACGCTGTAAGACAGGACCGCAGCACTTGGTCATGCAGCCCGAAGTAAACCCACACATGACCGCTTGAATCAACCGTTGGTACACACGTATGGGCAAGGCATGCAGTCGCGCAGGGCAAAGGGTAATGGCTGCGTTCCATGGTGCCATCCAATCGCCTCTCACCTTAATTCGAGAGCCACCCCATTCCAACTGTGCTGCAGCCCCCCTGCTTTGTATCCTTAATATGCAGCAAATTGCAATGAGAGCCAGTCCCACGTTGAGAGCAGCAATTAGCGACAGGGCCACCTCGACACTGTAACGCAACCTCGTGACGATGAACACACACAGAGATGCATTCCCACAAGCAAATGCCACCAAAAATAGAAGTCGCACAGCCCACAGAAGAACAAGTCGCAGCCCCATTTCGTGCGCCAGCTCTTGCCAGCCCTGTGCGGGATTGGCCTGCAGGGAAGTGCACACAATCGCAGTCAGCGCCAGTTTCATATGCCACAGGGCACACCACCTTAAGGTACTTCTGCAACAGCAGCAGCCTCCGTGGAGTTGGAAGCGCCTTCTCTCAAGGGTTGGCTTGTCAAAACCAACCACTCATGTGCAGTCTAAACTTTTCTTTGCAAAAAGGGTATTTCTGACCACCATGAAGGCCAATGGGCAACGGCATAGGCAAGTGCACCATGAGGGGCCTTCTAATTTGCGCAGTAACAGGCCGGAGGGCAGAACTGCAAATGCTGCATACCTGCGATTCTCTGTCTGGACTGTTTCGCACGCCATCTTGCGAGGGACCTATCTGCTGTAAAGTGCTCATTGAATCTGAATTTGTCTCTGTAGTTGGTGGGGCACCCATAGCATCCAGTGTCGAGATTGATTCATTTGGGAGCAAAAGGCCACTGATTTGTGACAAGACGCTGTCCATTTTGTGGGCAGGCTGCATTTCGGAACGCTGCCTCCTCAAAGGCAGCATCGTTTTCTCAACCGCCTCCACCTTTGGCAGCAGTTCAGAATATCTTCCCAGGCTCTCAGTGAAGAGGCTCTGCAGTGCCTTCACAGGCTGGCTAGGTTCCCCAGTGAGGCTGATATCAACACCTGTCACAGTTGATCAAAGAGCTGTGCATGAGTATCAAACCACATTCACAGCAACCTTTGGGGATGCATTTCTCCAGGCCAACAAACAATGACCTAGAGTGGTTGGACTGCCCACAAGCGTTTTCTGCACACACAGGCACCTTGCGCCCTGTTCCCCTTTCCAGCCCACCCTAACCGCTTTGTCAATCTCTCCCTGGCACAATTTCTGGGTTATGTTCCCAAGTACGGGTGGAAAATTTTCCCACACAGATATTGCTGAAGAAACAATGCCTCTCGACGTTTTGCAGATTCAAGGTGAATCCTACTCGGAAGCCCTGAACCCTAGCCATTTATCAACAGTAATCAAGACACACCGCCTCCAGCTCTTCCTTGCCGAGCTCCATTTCTGGCATGTGTGGCTAGCTAAGCACGGACGCTGCAGCATGCACTCCTGGGACCATCCCATTCCAGCGAAGCAATGAATCGCCACCACATGCAAATCGAGCACCCCCGATGCAGCACAGCCATCCCATCACCTGCCAGTTCAGAGCCTTCATTCTGCAGTCTTGATAGGGTACGAGACGCTTGCCTTCCTGCCAAAGGGAGTGCACTGGCCCCAACCGTTCCTGCATCCTCGTGAGCTACTCCTGAATTCCCCACCTCTGATGCTATTTTGTCTAGGGCAGCTGAGTCTGTCACGTACCTTCAGAATCACACTACTCTGCTACAGTGATGTAAGGCAGAAGGAAATTATTGTGGTCATGGGGAGCATGTTGCTGTAATTGGGGGTCAGATTGATGCAACATTCAGCAAGTCAAACATTAGGCCATAAGATCACTGTTGCACGGTTCTGTTGCAGTTTCTTCGATTTTATCTTTCAAACTATGTGTGGAACGTATCAGCAGCAGACGTCAAAATCCACTGTTAGTCTATCCACAAGGGAGCAGACCAATGTTACGTCGGGTTAAGCAACTGAACAAAATGGGGCTGGGGCAACTCACATGCTCACAAGTTCCTAACCTTGCTACAAGCCAGAATAGATACAACTACGATGGATAGCCGATTTGGATGCCATTCTGTGCCTAGAGCGAGCTGAAGGGATGGTACGCATTGCAAGTGCAGCAGCGACTGCCACTAGAGGAAAGCACAGATAGTCACATGGGCAGCGCAACACACTGTACAGGATCTTGTGGCACCCACAAAAGTCCCATTCCACCATCAACACATGTGAGGGTCCCATACCTGGCAATGAGTGACTGGAACCATTCGACAAGTTCTGACTGGCGGCATTGCACACCAGGGGTCAACTGCCCCATAGATTGCAACAGGTAGTGCACAAGCGTCAGCTGGCTTAGCAGCTGCGAAGCATGGTCAGAGAAGTGTTGCACAACCTCTCGCACATCGGCCACGGCAGGGGTGGGGTCTGCATGGTGGGCATCCACAACCTCCTTGAAGGCCACAGATGCCACTCCCTCAGCAATTGCCATTGCAGAATCCCAAGACAAGGTAGCCACCTGTCACGAACCGGGGGTTTCAGCTGAGATGCCAGTCCCTGCCACAACGAAAATACAACAGATAGCAAAGCAAACACATGAAAAGCATGTGTCAAGATATGTGGAAAGTAGCATTATAGACCCATCAGCACCAGGCACACCTGGTGGGAATGCCATATTCTCACATTTCCCACCGATTCACTTCCCTCAAAGAGATGCCCTTGGCTGCTTGTAGGAGCACTCGCTCAAAAAGCAGTTCTCCTGGCTGGGAAACAGCTGCTGCAATATACAGTTAGGCAGTTGCATGGGGCCCACTAACAGGGAAAGCAGCCAACCCTCAAGATCATGGCATTGGGAACATGTTGTATGGGAACATCATGGATCGTTATCTACTACATTGCTGTTGTGGCAGTGTGGAACAAGCGACCATGAAAAACAACTCATCTGATTGGCAACAGAAAAGAATACACCATCTTGCAGCCAGCCAATATTTGTTGACTCGACATCCGCTGACAGCATGGAAACTTGATGCAGGGCAGTTGTGGTAGCTGGCCAAACAAGGAGGGTATCAACAACAGGTTCATGCCATGCTGAGTGTTCATTCAATGCAACACAATATACAAGAGCCAAATCCCAGTGTGTGCAAGCTAATTTGCTCACCTGGGAGGGGTCAACGTCCATTTGCTCAAGAAGAATATGCACTGCATTGCCAGCATGAATAAGTGAAGGAATGGCAGACAGGATTTCCGCCTCGTTTGCATGCCCATCTCTGCAGGCAACGTACACTATAGTCATTCCTTTCTGTGCACAAAACACCAGATAAGGCAAATTTGCAAACACATTCAAATCCATGGGTGCCTCTGCCTGCGGCCTACTGCCTGCTCTCCAACTGCTTGCAAATCGCCCCCATGGTTAGGTACACTAAGAGTTTGTACAGTACTGACTAAATCAGACAGCAACTAGACACCAAACTCGTTTCATCCACCACTCAAGGGGCAGCAAACGTATCCTCTGAGAGTGAGAAGACCCCAGGGCTCAAGGCATCAGGTTTAGTACCTGTTGAGCAGCCAGTGGGCAGTGTCCAGCTTCTGTGAGATGTTTCCTTTGCACACCATGCACAAGAAGAACCCAAGAGAGAGGGTGGGTACACCATTTCCTTCAGCACACAGTGCTCCACAGATGCTGCTGCCACCAGCCTGCGTGCACAGCATCTTCATAAAGTTGGCACACAGAGGCCCTATCTGGTGATGGGCATCTTGCTACATCCATTCATGACTTTAAGCTCATCTTCTCCAATATCAAGGAGGCAGAAATCGCTTTTTGAGCATGCAAACCCCTGTCACGTGATGACAGCTTTTTGGCACGCACTGGCTCTCAGGATAGTGCTGTGGCCTTTCATGTGGCGCGGATTGGCAACGCTACGCAAACTGGTCCCTTGGAACAGAATAAGGAACCGAGCACTGTCAGCCAACAGTTGTCCCTCATTGCTATTGTGTTGATATCGTTGGCAGACATAAGAATGAGCAATCCACAACGGTTCTTGTATCCGGACAGTGGATCAGGGAGCGTTGTGGCAGTTACACCTTGACCAATTTGCAGCCCTGCTGCGAACTGCAGTGTTTTGAAGAATTTGGCATTGGGAAGTGCGAGGGGCAAAGTACCAGCATCGGGAGACACAGGTGCCTGCTAATTTGGTGTTGTGGATGTGCATCACTGCTTACGAATGGTTTCCAGCCAAGCCTCTGCAGAACGGTGTCCACGTGTGCCCTTTGCACCTGGAAGGGAATTGACCCCAGTACCCGGGGCCACTTTGCTGCCCTTGCTGACCTGAACGTGGCATGACATGTGCGTCGTATTTTCACGCTGGATTTAGGGATGCAGTCATTCATGGCGTGCACAAGCACCCACGCTGACAGCCCAGCAAACAGATACTGAGCGTTGAAGGGTGGACCCCAACAAACATTGGGCGCGCAAAGATTGTCGCGGGCCCCTCGCGGCAGGCGCGTGTTAGGACACGCGCAGCTCCGCAATGCGCGCACCGCATCCCGAACGCACAGATGGGTGTCCCGACGGCCTTCCGCGCGCAAACAATGGTCGGGGCCGCTGTGATTTCGCACTCGCTTTTGATGGGAGGCGGCGCGGGTTGATCTCGTTCAGTGGCCCCTGCGTCGGCGCCGCCACGCTCGGCGTGTTGGGCTTCCAGCGCTCCGCAACCGGCGCAGAGCTCCTTGACGCCAAGGCCCAAGTCCGGAAGGCTCAACGCTTCGGCGGCTTCCTCGAGCGCAAGAAGCGCGGGCACAGACACACACCGCATGCCTTGGGGCCCAAATCGCGGATGAGCTCACTGGCCGTACTAGGACGGCTGACAAGCGCTCCAAGCCCGACAAATTGTTGAACTCCCGCATTTTCTTCTCCTTTTCGCGGGCATTGTTGAAAACACTTTAGGCTTACCACTGACAAATGGCCAGCTCTGAAAATACTGTTGGCCCTGTGTCCTGCCAGTTCTGCAACCTCGGATCTTGTTGGAAGCCGTTCAGTCTTGTTGCTGACAAATTGTTGGAATTGAAAATGTCGTTGGCCCGTGTCCTGCCAGCTCTAAGGTAGGCGCATGACTGACATTGGAGACCTATTGGGCATAAAACCGGAGCCCTGTTGCGAAATTGGCATGAGCAACCATCCTTACTAGCTAGGACATGAAAGGGCTGTGAGGGTAGACTCGTTTGACATGCTGATGTCAGAAAGCGATTTTAGCCACCCAGAAAAGACAGAGCGATAACTACCGATCAGAAGGGGGTTAAAAAGAAACTCAACCTATGGCAGGTGCTGCAAAAGTTGGCTCTGCGCACTGAACCGTGCCAAGGCAGGCAGCTTGTTTACCATTCGAGGCAAAGCGGGCCTGTGCAAGACGGCCGTATCAGTGGCGAATTGCTGCCAGAAACCGGCACGCCAACCACCTCGGGGCGGGCTCCATGAGTGGATCTGTCGTTAAGGCCCTGGGATTGGCTGGATGAAGCCGACCCTGTGTTTGTTCGCTGGCACGTCGGCTTTGAAGGCTTAAGGCCTTGTCCCACTACTCTCTAAAAATGGCAATAAAAAGGAGAACGATGATGGAAGATAAGTGCAAATGGGAGATTTCCGGATGGGCACTGTCCCATCAGCAACGGATGACGATGATTCACTAAATGTGCAGTGGTTGTACTCCGCCGTTTGAACTAGATGTGACGTGGCTGCTTGGGGGTTAGGCTTATTTGACATTTCTGGAGTGGTAATTACGTAATTGGCTAAATCGACCTTTTGGGGACGTTATTAAGAGCTTCCTGGTTCCAATGAGCTTTTAAACGCCCGATTCCGTTAAGAAACGGCGAAGATATGGCCTCCTGAAATCGTAGTACTTAGGGCCAGGGGGTCGGGTGTTAGACGCTTGGAATTAGAGGACAATGGGTCGATCGTAGGTGAACGGTGGACGGTGATGATGTGCCTGGACGCGCACTTGTCTTGTCTTGTCTTGTCATGATGTGACCGCGATGGACCCGCGATCGGGCATCGCGCATGCGATATGTGCGCGCGCATGCAGTGAATCGTTGTAACATCTTTGGCCCACTCTCTGGCCTCCCGCGAGCCAGCGAACCACCACCGCGCTGCGCCGCCACCTCTCACCGACAGCAGGCCCCGGGGATCGATCCCGTCGAGCATTGGGCCCACCGCGCGACTGCCAATTCGACTGCCCCGGATACGCCCACCGTCCGAGGTGGAGAGAGCCGGCTGACCTCCAACAGCCGAGCCGCAGGGCAGGGCGACCCCCACGCCTCCGGAAACCAGCGGCCGCCGACGGGGCCGCAACAAATTGGTTTC